CCATTAAAAGCTAGAACTTTCATGACATTACTCATACGACACAGTGTACATTTATGCCATATTTATTTTGCCATAAATGGCGAAACGGAAATATAAATTTATATATAACTTATAAGGCATTATTTTATAGTTTTCTTCGGCTTTTTGTTTAAATTTTTGGCCTACTTTGTGGCAGCACGTGCTTCAGCTTAGCCTGATCACTTTGCTTTTTGTTTACCTTGGCCACTTGAGTTGTTTTTAATAAACTGTTAATAATGGTTAACTTTTGGCGCTTACGAGACAACCCACACACACACTGCCAAGACACACTGAGAGCCAAGACACCTGCCCACTCATCCATTGGTCTGGTCCATGAGCTGTTCGGGTTTTGTACCTCTGCTACTTTGTGGTCAATAAATGTGGCCATTATAAGCCTTGTTCGGGGCGTGGGCGTGGCATTTATACTATATAGTATATGCCCTACGAGATTAACCATCGCGTGTGTAGACTTCTTGTCCGACATGGTGAGTGTGTGTTGGCGTGTTCTTGGCAATTTCGGTTTTTTCCTTGCTCCCTTTGTTTCTGCTGCGAGGGAGCTTTTCCAGTGGGATTCATTGACCAGATTCCATGACTCTGCACTATGTAAATGAAACAATTGTTTGCAGTGCAGTTACTGCAACTACTACTACTACCACTAATACTACCTCCTGCTAAAATAGTTGGCATAATTATGCCGCCTGAAAATCGTTGGCTGTCATTAGGCGCACGAATTGACCATGAACCAGTGACGGTTTTTTGTGATTTTTCATTTTCATTACCCATTCTGTAGGTGGAATTTTACAAGAAAGCAATTGGGCATGTCATTAAAAGTGAAACAAATTGAAGTACATTTGAAGTTAAACGAGGGAAAACAATTTCACCTAAATGTTCATATTTATTTAAAATTAAAAGAAGTGAAAAGAACTCAAGAAATTGGACTTATAAATGGGAATTGTATAATAAATAATACATAAAATATATATAAAGAAGAAATAATCTTTTATTTATTAAATAATATGTTAGTTTAACATATAACAAATCAAAGAGTATCACATTTATTATTTTTTGTTGATATTTTAAGAATCAAGAATTGCAAAAGCAAGATAAACCAGTTGAAAATTTAATTCTGTAAGCAAGGGAAACTTGTTTGTTGTTATGAGTACAAATTACACGAAATATAATTGTTATTATTTCTGGAAAACTCAATTTCCTTGAAACATGGAAACAGAAAACATCAGACCTATGCCAACTTTAAATTGTTTCAGGTTTACTTCTGAGTAAACCCATTAAATCTTAGCTTTTACAAGCTTAAAAATATGAGTATTGTTTATTTTAAGTTGCTATTTTTTAAACTTTACTTGATTATGATGCAAGAACCTCTAGAGACTATATAAAAGTAAATAAATTAGACAGTTTCGGGGAGTGTTACAAGGGGCTGATAGAGGTAAAATTCTTTTAGTTGCATTGCCAATATCCGCTGGCAATGCATTCAAGCAGCAAGCAAACACACAGTTAAAAACAAAGCTTGAAAAGCCCCAAATCGAAATACATTGACTCACAGCCTAACTGGCTGGACAAAAGTGACTGATTGACGGACTGACTGAGTGAATGACGGACTGACGGACTGACTGACTGACTTCTCGCACAATGAATGAATTAGTAACGAGTGGCAAGCGAGTTGAGCTGCGTGGATCGATTCACGCTCGACCGACAAACTTTCGCTGCTGGGCAGGAAAGCTAGCGAATGATAACTGTGCCATGTTTTCCACTGGGGGTTAAGTGCAAACGTCATAAACTCAATTTCTCCCTCTCCCCACTCCCCAGCTTGCCCCGCAGCTTTCCAGCGATGCCCTTTAACTGTACATTGAAGTGTGTACATAGTTTAGTTACCTTTCCAAAAAAAAAACACACACAGAAAAAGCAACAAAGCACTGAGCAAAGCAGAGTGGCACAAAAACAAAAAATGATTCATGCGCAACCAGAAGCGGAGAAAGAGATGGGGAATCTCCCAGAGAAAGAGAGAGAGAGAGAGGGAGAAACTTGTTTGCCAAGCCAAGCATCATCTCTTATGAGAACAGCTCTCTAGGGAACTATCCAACTCGAAAAAAAAATGCTGCTTTCAACCTGAAAGTAACTAATGAAAATATTTTTCGAATTTAATCTCCTCTAGAAAAATCAAATATAGAAACAGTTTTCAATATAAAAGTAAAGTTTTATAATTTGTTTATAGAGTACAAATATCTTTTGGTATCTTTTTACTTAATTTGGTGTCTAAATTCTTCTTTGACATATGTTTTTCAATCTCTAAATAATCTTGCTTTATTTTCCTAAATGAAAATGACCTATAAATAGGTAAATATCAAAAATGTTCTGTTTAAAACTATAACATATATCATAATAGGATAATAATTAAAACCCCTGATAAAAGACTGATATTTTCTAGGACCCCAAATTGTGTAATATTTACATTACTTATGCCAAGTTCAATTTACTTTTGATAATCGATCATAGCATTTTGTTTCGGTGCACTCAGCTCCAGGCTTTATTTTTCCTTCAACGGCACCCAAAATCGCTCCGCCCTTCTGCCATCCTTAATTGCACTGACACGCCCCATTTATTGGACTGCGGTTGCCTTGTTTCGACTTTCCAATTGATCCGATTGATAATTGGATTTACGTTTGCCGATTGGAAAATCGTAGAGGAGCCAAAAGGCGGCGTCCGCAAAAGGCAAAGGAAATGCCTTTCGAAATCAACTTTGGAATGCCTTATATGGGTTGGATCGGAGTCGTGATCAATCAGCTGATTCATTAGCCCCAATTTAGTTGGTCAAGGTTTCACCGCCCCGATTGCAAACGTGCTTATCGCATCAACACCTTCCGCAGGTCGATTTCCAATCACAATCGGTATCGTTATCAGTGCCCCAAGTTCGATTTCAATAGGCGGACTAATGAGAGTTGCCTTATATGGGGCGAGGAACCCCCAGACGAGAGGCAGAGTAGGTATTTGTATTAGGCGCCAATCATTAAATTAAACTACACATGTTTTTTGATAAGGAAATGCTATTTGCTGAATCGCTGAATCGCATTTGCTTTGCTTTTGTGTTTTCTTATTATTTCAGCAGGTGATAATAGAATTGTTTAAACATTGTTTAGGACTTTTAATTAGTGGGAAATACGCTCCAGAAATGCATACCCTAAAAGGAAACTTTACTGGGAATTTTATAATATATACGCAATATATAGAATAAGTACATGAAATATAAGAACTTGGAGTATCATCCAAGATCTGTATGCTCTATATAATTAATCCCATCAATATATATTATAAAACATAAAACCCATTATTAAGAAACATTTTCAAATGCCTAGATACTGATTCAACCTATCTGAGATCTGTACAAACCATACACATGTTCTTAATCATAACAATTTGTTGCTCAAAATTGATTTAAAATTGTGGCAAAGGCAGCACATTAATCGAAATAATCGCTGGGCTTGTGGGAGTTATTAGATCAGCAAAACCAGATCCCGGAGTATAACTACAACTACTGTGTATAGTATGTATGTACCTGGGGCCATAGAATTTCCCCCATGGCAATGAACTGGGCATGTCTATAAAAACATCAATATTTTTTGTGGCCGGGACCCTTGGCCGTAAATAGTCCGAAACGCATAAACATGTCTAATGTGTGTGTTGTGTTATATTTGTTTGTTGTTAGTTTCTGCTGTGTATATTGTGTGTATGCGGGGGGAGTTGAACTTGTAGTTCAATAAACCCACCGCAAAGTTAATTACAATGCCCGGCAGCAGCAGCAACTAAAATTAAAATGTAACTACAATATAATATGTGAGAGGGCGCAGAAATACACACACGAAAATAGGTTTTTGTGGTTTTTTCTTTTTGACAAATTGTACATTTAATGGCAAATAAAATAGTCAGAGAAAAATAAAAAGAGCAAGCGAGTGTCTCACTCTCTCTAGATTGCTTTGGGTAATTAAAAATATAAATGAAATGGCAATTGAAGAGCCCCGAATACAAATGCCCCATACAATCAGCAATTAGCAGAAACGAGCGGAGAACGGAGAAAGGCAAGCGGGGCATTGTTTGGTGTGAGTAGAATAAATGTTGCACAAAAATTTTCCATCGATGAAAGTTTTTCCTCCTTTTTCGGCTCTTGTTTATCTCTTGGAATATATTTAGATTTTCATTTTCCGTGGGCAAACCAACCGTGGAGCGAGTGGGTGGGTCAATTCAAGCGAATTGAAATTCTGCAAGCTAGAAATCGAAACTGAAAAACTGTCAAAGCCGACAGATAATTAAAAATAGTTTTTGCCATTCGCTTTTGGCTTGCTTGGGTTTTCTTGGTTTCAATTTCGTTTCGATTTTCGATTCTTGACTCTCGATTCTCGTCGATTTCCACCGATTCCCAGCGTCCGCCGTCGTTCGACTGTATTATTGGCCCAATAAACTTTGCCCTTTTCAAGTTGGCCCTCGGCCAACAGAAGAGAACTGTTCCTTGAGGGTATCATCGCTGTTTGCCAATTAAAAATGCATGAGGAGCATCGGACTGGTCAAGATTGATAGCAGCCGGGTGCGAGTGCAAATGAGCCCTTGTCCAGGGGCAATGATTGCCTTTGATCAGTGATTAATATCAATAATTTTGCTTAGTTGAAGGGGAGATTGTAGCAGGCAATTAACTATTGATAAAATTTGGTTTTAATTAATTTTTTTACCTCTTTATTAAGGCTTTGTTCTATAGAAATAAAACTTGCATTTAATTGCCTGATAAGCACCTATCTAATCTGGCAAAATAAATCGCTTTGCCATGGTGAAGGCTCCCCTTGTCCAAGAGCAATTATCAGTCATTAAATATGGCACTCTTAGTCATTGACAATCGCCAATCTACACTAATACGCATATGGCTTTAATATATGTATAATTATATGTATTATATATACGCATATTTCTTTTGAACAACTCACCTTAACAAGCAAATTCGCTGGCCAAAAACATTTGTGATGGGAAGCGGAGAAATATGATTTGTGGTCGTTTTTGCTTTTGGTGCACTGAAATCAGAAGCAAAACCGAATTGATTAAATTTATTGATTAGCAAATGGCTACAAAAAATGCCTAAGAATTGGATCATCGATTAGAAAAATAATTGAGGTGTTGAAATAAAGCAGAGCAAATATTTTTCACTTATAAAATTCAAATTTTCATTGGCAAAAACCCCCATATTTTCTTCAAGTGGCGAATTCTATTACTTGATCTTGAGCTTGGTGGCCAAAATACGTCATCTTCTGATCTCTGACGGTTCTGAATATAAGAGGAAAGTGAATCATGTGAATAAGACAAAACTACCACCAATACAGTGTTACTTAAAAAGTGCACAATACTCGATAAAGATGTATTTGTAAACAAAAATTGTTGGCCACCCTTGATGGAGGGTGTTCCTACAACATTTCTGCTATTGTTTTCGTCGTGAACACACATCCGGCGACTGTCGAATTTCAAAATTGAAGTGCCAATGACATGAGTTCAATTTAGATATAGATTTGTTTATATATATTATGGCCAAATTCCGCCCCCTCACCCACTCACTCACTTACTCATGAGCCGATCAAACATTGTCGCCTGTCAGCACTTTGAATATTCACATTGAACGCTGCTTCTGTTCACTGCCATTAATTGGCCTTCGCTTTGACTCCCAATAAAATGGCATGCAAATGCAATTTGTTTGGATGATTTCAATTGAGAAATTGAGAAATTGCATTGAGGGGGTTTGCATGGAGATTCAAATCAATAAATCGCGAAAAGTGTTTGGTCAATAAAAGGCTTGAACCTGAGTTTCATTTGTTGCCATTTATGTTTCAAGTGAATCATTTCCTTGACCATAAACTTTCTTAATTTAGACTCGATTACCCTGGTAATTGATAATTATATCACCTTCATTGCGGTTAGAAAACTAACGCAAAAATCAATATCCTTGCACAAATAAAATATGAATATGGGAAAGTCAAGTTGTTAAACCACATGAAATATTTGTTACTATATTACATGCATCATTTTTTCGTTGACCATGACATCATAACTATATTTCTCGGATTAGGACATGAAAAAACTATAAATTCTGACCTTATTCACCTCCCACAAGGAGTTCTTTTAGCAGGGGATAATCCTGTACTTTTCTCCCTCTCAAAGCAAACTTGAGAAGTTGTACAACTTCTACTAGAAAATATGGAGCAGACCCCTAGAAATTGAAATATAAACAAACTCAGGAGGTGAGTGAGCCGCGTTAGAAGCTGTCGAAGCATAAAAACTTAATCATATTAAGAGCCAGCAAACCGGCTTTTAAAGGGTCTGATTAAACGATAGATATATGGATGGATGAATGAATGAGCCCACTCACCCGGTTGGCTGAGTGAATAAACCAAGTGGCTAAATGAGCAAAAGTTAATGCTTGACTGACTGAAATAAAACTGGAAAACCAAGCTGGACCGGGCTAAAATCCACATAGGTAAACGTAACAAAGGTAGCATGTTACAGTTGTTGAGACAACAAATTGCAAATTCTTATTCAGCCGAGCAGCGAACTTTTGCAAGGGGGAAAATGCACAGCACAAGGCTGGGGGGAGAAAAACACAAAGCTAACGAACCCCGCAACACATCAAAAACAAAGGAGCTTACCCACTTGGATCATGGTCACGTTGATGATGTCTGTCAGGTTTTAATTAATAATAAAACTCCTCCCGGAGGAAAAGTGCAGACAACAAAAAGCGTGAAATGGAAAACGAACACTAAACACAACGCAATGGACACTCTGATGATGTATTTTTGATAAATTGTGAAAGCGCCTAGCCCAGACGACAGCTAATTGACGCCCCAACCTCCCCAATCTCCCAACACCCAATTTCCCATTTCCCCCGACTGTGCGGCATATGTTATTAAAGTGGCGATAAAAATGCGATTAATAATGAAGCAAAAGATACACCAAACAACAAAAGCCTATCACGTGAAAGGCCAACAAACAAATACAACACAAACAACAAAAATGAAAGAAAAACATAAAAAGCTGCAAATGCGAAAAAAAAGAAAGAAATCATATGAAAATGCTGAACTCCGGCCTCATAAAAGATAAACAATTTTACGCGCTCTCTTCGACTTGGAAAGCCGATAAGCGTCACTAACTAAAAAATAGAGGGGAAAAGTGTAAAAGTAAGTGAAAAAGACACACTTGTCCTTGGCCGCAACTTTATCTAATTTGGCTCATATTTTATCAGTGTCACAACAAACTGCGCCATATCAATTTCCCCCTATGTATATGGGTTATTAGGGGAGAGAGAGTGTTGTGTTATTTTCAGAGGGTAGAATAGAAGAGAGACCTCCTCAAATTTCATGTCCAGCTAAAGAAATATTTAATGGATTTTCAAGTGCTTCACATATGATTACAACGGGGTCTTCCTTTTTTGCCCTTTTCATTTGCAACTGTTCTTGCCCATTGTGGTCGTAAAAATGCACTTTATGGCATTCACACCACACAGAAAGGTCAACTGCAATGGCAATTGGCTTTAATGGCTGCACTTGGGAGTGGTTTAGCGATGACAAAGGATAACTTTGTTAAGGGTTTCTGATGGGTTTATTTAACTTAAACCAGGTTTCTCTTTAGAAAATAATTATAAATTTACATCATATTAGCAAACTAAGGTTAAACCAGTTACATTTACACACTGCCAACATATGCTAATGACCACTTCCATTGCCAACTAGACAAACACCATTAACGTCTCTCGAGAACCAACGTCCCATAAATGTGGCCCAGAGCGATTGTTGCTAATGAAAATATTTCACACGAGCCCCCAACAAAAAGGCTTCATAACAAATGTCACACTTTACACGTGCCCCCCAAAAATGAGGCCTCAATTAGAAACCAAATTAGACGTTTCTTTAGGTTATAGATCTTAAAATACCATCCGAGCTAATAGAAGGCAAAAATAGCAACGAAATAACAATTATCTTATCTCTGACTTGAAAATACTTTTCGACCAATATAATTTATGCAGTCAGGGGCAAAATGTTTCTACTGAAATCCAAAGAGTACGATTCCATTGTGCTGCGGCCTTTGCCACAGTGCAATGTCATGACTTGACGACGCCAGCCATGGTAGCCCCGTGATTGGTGTAAAGAAAATTGCCTCGACAGCAAAATGAGATCTGGAGTCAATGCACCAATACACTGGACGGGGTTCAACGAATGGTGATTATTCCAGCGATTATTGTTATCAGAGGATTGTTCATGATTGCAACTCTCTTGATAATTCCCTTCTTGCAATTCTTCTGAAGATGGGTTCATCATTCTACAAGAGGACACTTCTAGAGTCTAGACTCTAGATTGGTCTTTTTAAAGTTTCCTTCAGACATATCATATATTTTTCTTTATTCACTCACTTTTCCGTGGATTTTCTTGTAATTTGTTGCACTTCTTTGAAATAATGTCAAGGCTAATGCATCAAATCTTTGCGACCGCTTTTCGCTGGCTCGACATTATGCTTTCTGGCTTGGATCTCTTTTATTTTTTGGCAAATTTCAACGCTTGTCATTGTCGTGCTGCTGCCACGCCCCCTGCAATGATGTCATATCGCCACAGACTTGTAGCAATGCTCCAGTTTCTCCCTGCTTTTGACTTTGTCACGCTTTTCCCAGCTAGCGATTTTCCACACTTGACTTCGCATTTCCCCTTGGTATCAGCTCCGCATTTTTTTTCCCACCTCAACTAATAACTTTGTGTTTTGTCTTCCATCCATTTTCCGCGCGCATTCGTCTTGGGCTTTGGCTTTTTCCGCTTCTGTCTCATTTTCTTTTTTGTTGTATTTTTGCGCCTGCCCTGGATTTCCATTTTGTCGCACTTGGTTTTTGCTCTTGTTTTTCTGGGCGATGCGATTGTGAAAAGCTGTGCACTAATGGCAGCTGTGAAATGCATTTATGTTTATGGTCTAGTTTGTCCATTCTTTGCTTTTTTTATTATTTTTGTTTGAGGGCCTCTTAAGGGCAAACATTTATTCTTATCCTCCAGTTACATTAGTGCTAAGGCTAAGAGCAGTGTGGAAAAGCTGACTCTGAGCTGGAGAGTAAGGCTGGAAAATGGAGTACCACAGGACAGGTGTGGTCTCGGGAACTCTAAAGATTACTAGCTCATTAAATAGAAAACGTTAGGCTTTGAATTAGATTTCAAAGTGGTTAGGTGAAGGTTTGAAACTATTTACAATAAATCAGCAATCAGCTATAATTAAGCAATCAGTTTTAGAACCTAAACAAAAATGCCTGTTTTTACTTGTAAATGTTCTATATCTCTTCTTTAAGTTGTTTTTTTCCCCTTAATTAATATATTTTCAATGATAGTTTCTTTTCTTGCTTTTCATAAACATTGGTGAAACTACGCTAATTTTAACAGCAATTAATAAATGTCTTACAAATATATTTTCACACATCGTCAAGACGAAAGAGTGCAAGCTTCTGAATAACCAGTTTCTTATAACCCACCGTTCTCTTATTTAAATGAATAAAAGAAACTCTATTAATTATAATAAAGCTTGGTGTGAGATCATTTACATAAAAATCAAATAAGATTACAAAAATCGTTTTGATCATGCAAATACTTTTAGAATTAAAATTAAAAGAAAAAACACCTTATTATTGGCTTTGAACTCACCTTGATAATTTACAGATTTAACAGGTACTGCTTGATTTATGTGGTTATGGTTTTACGTTCGCCAGCGATTTTTTGTATATTTCAATTTGGAAACGATTAAAATCGAGGAAAGGAATCAAAGAGAAAGATAACATGAAGAATGAGAGGGGAAAGGTAATATTAGAAAGATAAAATTGCACGCGAAAACCGGTTGCCGTTATTGTTTACACCAAATCGGAAACGAAGTAGCGCGAATACAGATGTCCAACGGGGGAGTGGGGGGAGGGGGGCTGGAAATTGGAGTCGGTATTGGAATCAATAAAACAAACACGAAGAAAACACATGGAAAGTGCAGGCGGCTGCAACACACAGATGATTTTCCGTTATTTCGGTTAAATGCACAAATAGGCGAATCGTGACGTAGAATCCTGGCGCTATTATTAAAATGATTCATCTGCTTTTCGCTTTTTGCCGAAAGATATGAGAAGATAAATAAAATGCTGCAGCACAATCACACAAACACACACAATACACCCTGGCAGTCACCCTCGCACACCCCCGCGGACACGCACACACGAGGCTTCACTGTATTTATTAATATATTCCAGACACGCGGATCGGATCCATAGTAAATTATATACATATATTCGATTCACGGCGGCGGCGGCGAGGGCGACGAAAAAGAAAGAATCGAGCTAAAAACAGAACACACGCGTGGGTCCGTTTCTTTGTTTTTTCTTATTTTTAACGGCGCTCGGTGCACATTATATAACTGCACTGGCATATCCAAACATTAATTGCACTGTATTTAGTCACTTACACTTTTTTTCTCGCAGCTTAAATTTCGCGTCCGACTCGTTTGGTGGTTTTTTCTTTTAAATTAAGAAAAATATCAAAATATCAAAGTGCCCATATTAATGTTGATATTTTTGTATACTTTATTTCTGGTCACTCTAAATTCTGTAGCTGTTATTAACATTTTACATCTTTAAAAACATTTTACGAGTTTACAGATACATAGGGTCGAGTTCTCATGTAAAATATAAAATTCATAACATACCCGCTCTCTTCTCTCTAGGGTGCTGTCGGATGGATGTAAATTAACAGAATTCTCTCTCGGGTGCTGCTGGGTGTTGATCGTTTTTTGGTTGTTAAAAATATATTAAAATACCAAGATATCATTTACAAGTCTAGGTTACATTTTACACGCCTAGATAACTTTTACACTTTTATTTATACATGTAGAATTCTAATGTGGGACGTTGAACATCGTCTGGATTCCGAATCTGTTATTAACATTTTACATCTTACACGTCTAGATCACAATTATACACGTTAACATATCAATATATCGATATTGCCCACATATCGATGTTGCGATACTTTTTTATAACTTTTTTGGTTTTTCTGAATTCTATTGCTAACAGTTTACATCTTACAAGAATATACATTTTACACTTGAACATATCAATATATCGATAAACATTATTTTTTTAGCATAATTTCTTATTTTTTTCAACTAATATCCAATGTTAAAGATATTTTCGAAGAATGGTGTAGCCTCTTAACCGCCACTAGATTTGCCAACACTACCTCTCAGCAGTACTGTAACTCTTAGGCTATTAAGAAAAAAAGCTTATAAAAAAAAACCAATAAAGCCGAATTTGGCCAGAAAATAGCCAATAAGTCAACAATGCTTATCGATAGCCGCGATAGATTTTCGTATTCCCTTTTGAGCTCTTTCGCATAAATATTTTTCCGGCTTTTCTTTTGCAATGGTTAGTTATTATTTATATTTGATAACTTTTTCTAATTTCCCGCCGGATATCTTAGTTCTCGCTGTTGCACTCGGAGGAAAACGCGCACGATAACGCGCTGTGGGCCTGCACCTGGGGCCGCGACACCGCCGATCCGGATCCTGACAATGCCGACACGGAGTCGGAGGAAAAGAACCCGTTCGATTTTGACAAAAAGGAGGCGCGTCCAAAGGATTTCATAGTTACAGGTGGCCTGGACGATTTGGTGAAGGTGTGGGATGTGCAGGAGGACAACACACTAAAGCTGCGCCACAAGCTGAGTGGACACGCTCTGGGAGTTGTTTCGGTGGCCGTCAGCTCGGATGGACAGAGTAAGCAATAAAATTTCACTTGGCCCACTAATTCTCTAACTTTCCCTGCTAATAGCCATTGCCAGCAGTTCCCTGGACTCCAGCTTGTGCTTATGGGATGCCCGGACGGGGGACAAGAAACACCTGCTCAGATTCGGACCCGTTGATCTCTGGACCGTGGGCTTTTCGCCCTGCAACAAGTACGTGATATCCGGACTAAATGACGGCAAAATCTCCATGTACAGCGTAGAAACGGGGAAGGCGGAACAGACGCTGGACGCCCAGAATGGCAAATACACACTGAGCATTGCATATGTGAGTGTTAACCCATAATTAACCTTGCAGATTGTTGGTGTAACTTTGTGAAATATTCCAGAGTCCGGATGGCAAGTACATAGCCAGTGGAGCTATCGATGGCATCATCACCATCTTCGATGTGGCGGCGGGCAAGGTGGCACAAACTCTGGAGGGACATGCAATGCCCGTTCGCAGCCTGTGCTTCTCGCCGAATTCCCAAATGCTTTTAACTGGATCCGATGACGGTCACATGAAGCTGTACGATGTGTAAGTGGTTTTGCTAAGGTAAATGCCAATTTAGATAACCTTTGGTTTTAATTTTTCACAGGGCCCACTCGGACGTGGTGGGCACCCTTTCCGGTCACGCCTCCTGGGTGCTGTGCGTTTCCTTCTCCGAAGACGGCAAACACTTTGCCAGCTCCTCCAGCGATCGCAGTGTCAAGGTGTGGGATACCTCGGAACGCAAATGCTTGCACACGTTCGCCGAGCACACGGATCAGGTGTGGGGCGTGCGCTACAGTCCCGGCAATGACAAGGTGGCCTCCGCCTCGGAGGACAAATCCCTGAACATCTACTACTGCCCGCCCAACGCCATTGTGTGATTCGTGTGTTCCGTACAATAAAGCGTAGGATTAGAACAAGAAACGAATGGATTTATTTACGGATTACTCTCAGGGTCTGACTTAACGCGCAGGAGCGGTGTCTTGGCTTGTGTCAGCATCTTATCCTGGTACTTGTGATCGGGTATGTACATATTGAACGTCTTAAAGTAGTGCAGAATGTTCTCTAGAGTAGGAGCGGTTATCAAGCTGCACCTAATCATTGCTTTGATTTGATAACTTACCTACATGCGGCTCTTTGAGCTTATATTCCTGGGCAATCTTCTTGGCCGGCCAGTTCTCCGGATCCAACTGATGGTCGTTAATGAATTTAAGAGCCTGGCGCAACGAGCAATGTCCCGCACTTATTCTCGTGGGCTCCATATAGCCGTACTCGAAGTCTTCCGGAGTTTTGCGCTCCAAGGGCAGAGGTCGCTTCTCCGGTTGCTGGGACGCCGCCTCAGCTGCCTGACGATCCTGGACACGCTTAATCTAATTGATAGTTAGAGATCAGTTTCTGGAAATGTCGCTGTACTTGGTAATAACCCACAAATCGATCCTGCGACGTTACATAAACGTCTTTTAATCGGCTGTCCAAGCTGGCGTCCTTTCTGTTCAGCTTGTCCACAAACTTGGGATCCACTTTAAGGAGAAAAGCAAAGTGTTAAAACCGTCCTGAGATTTAATTTAAGCCCAAGAAGTCTCACGTTCCAGGGTGCGCTCCATGTCCCTCAAGTTGGAGTCAAACTTGGGCGCCGGTGTGGGTTTCTCGCGCTCCAGGACGCGATGGGCGCGATTCTCCGCATTGAAACGGTTGGCCCGGCGGGCCACCATTGAAACCACCTGTCCCATTTTTTTGTATTGTGTTGTTTAAGTTATGTTTCGCGAAAATCACATTAAATTGTCGGAAAATAAAATAATTGCCATGTAAACATAACCAAAAACAAAGAGTGCTGGGTAACGAGCAAAGTCAGCGACAGCTGTGATTCGAACAGCTGAGTTCTCGAGTAGTGTTGCAAAACACTCGCGCACCGGTTGCTTGTAAACAAACGATTTAATTTCTGTCTTGCAGTTTTATTATTAAAAGCCACAAAGAATGCTGCCATTGCGACGCAGCTGGAGCCTGGCTAGGTTCAACTACAGTACCAAGGCCAGGAAGGAGATGGTGGCCCGCTACAGCGCCGAGTTCCCAGCGAAACTTATCAGCCGGAAACATAAAGCACCCGCTCACATGTATTTGGCGAATGCTGAAGCTGCCAAAAGAATTGGGAAGTACTTGGAGCCGCATTTGCAGGCCTCCGGCTGCGATACTGTCATGGAACTGAATCCGGGAGCGGGACACTTTACCCGTCACCTGTTGGACAAGGAATCACAGTTCCGGCGTATCTTGCTGCTCGAAAGCATGGATCACTTCATGCCCCGCCTGCAAGAGCTCCATGCTCTCTATCCCGAGCGCGTGAAGGTGCGCCAGGCTGACTTTGTCAACCTGTGGAAGCTGGTCTACATGGACAAGATGGATGGCGGCACCAGGGTATCAGATCTCCTAAACGATGTTCCTCAACGGGCCTTTAATGATGGTAGAGTGGATAAATATTTAATCTTTCAGTCGATTTGATGTCTATCCTCTTTTCCCGGCAGATAACAATATGCTGGTGTTTGGCGCCGTGGGCTCTTATGCCTTCTTTAAACACCTAATCAACTCGCTCATATTTCAGACCAGTCTTTTTAATCTGGGACGCTGCGAAATGATCCTCGCCATTCCGCCGCCCATCTACATAGTAAGACAACCATGCTCCTTCTGTTCTTGTGCTTTCATAATTAATTTTTCACCCATAGCACCTGACCTGCACTAACGAGATTGGCTACCTCATCTACCGCTCCACCAGCGTGCTGTTCCAGATTCTATTTGAGCACCAGTTCATCGCCAAAGTGCCTCGAGAGGATTTTCTGCCCATGCAGACCGATTACAACCCCAGCAAGGGCAGCAAGCTGGTCAAGGTGCGGTCCATCAATCCGGAGTACCTGTATCTGGTAAAATTTGCACCGCGCCGTAATCTCCACGAGCTGTGTGCAGTTCAGGATCTACCCGCCCTCTGGTTCTTCATCAAGCAGAACTTTGTAAGCCGCCGCAATCGGATCATCCCCAATTTAGAGTAAGTATGGGTATGCACCTTCTTTACCATTTAGTACAAATCTGTAAATCTTGCAGGAAGTGGGTGCCCGGCTGTGGACCGCGCCTCATCATTAACCCACAAGCTCCTGAGCCCGTAAAGCCCACCTATCCGGACGAGCGGCCGCACAACCTGCCGCAGTACTCCAGCCGAAGCACCACAATGAGCTTAAAAAACTACTACCCAGCCATCAATATTTACACCCAATTCGGCGATCTTCTGCCCAGCCAAATGCTGACACTGTTTAACCAGTTCCGACAGTGGCCAGAGTATGGTGAGAGTTCGTTCCTGGCCTCGCTGGAAAATGCACTGCTCAAGCTGGAGACTGCCAACGATGAACAGAACTTGGAGGACGGCGCCACGTTGCCCGAGGAGGATGACGCCGATGCTGACGAGCTGCTCGAAGAAGAAAGCACCGAAGCCACCGTCTCGAAAACGGCCAAGAGCCGGAGGAAATCTAGCTCCTAGTCAATAACTATTATTGTTGCTTGAGGATAAGTGAGTAAATTTCTCTTTAAATTGGATTTGCTTATGAAATTACGTGTTTAGGGAAATTTTTTTTTTATCGAAACACATTTGAAAATCTTCACTGGAGTTTACGGCACCAAAACGGAACACAATATAGAGATTAGGCACATAATTGTACTGTAACTTCTAGACGCACTTTCCCTGGACCGAAAGGCGACTACCGCGACCGCACTTCTCGGCCAGTTCGATGTGGTATTCTGGGGGAGCCACCTGCTGCTCCTCTGTGTCCGCGATGCGCGTATCCAGTTGCACTGACAGCTTGACACAGTCCACCATTAGGGTGGTAGGATTCACGCCCAAAACAAAGGTTGCCTCCTTGTAGGGGCACGGATTCTCCTCGTGCTTGGTGTTTCCGAACTGGTAGCAACTGTTGCGAACCATAAAGTGGCCATCGCGACCACACGGATTACGCACGCACTCCGGTATGATACGCTCCTTGTACAGCACTAAGATCTGGCCAGACTCGCAGGGACCCTGACGATAAGCCGGATAGCAGGCATCGGTCTCTGGGTAATACAGCGTGGCTATCAACGGGGGAAGTACCATGATTATTATGTCATCGTCGCGGTAGCTCCATTACGACTATTCTCTCACCTGGCGCGCAATCACAGACCCAGTCATTCTGCTGCTGCTGGTCGCCGGGATAAAGCAGCTGGTACTTGGGGCACCGAGCCGGGGAGTAAAGCGGCTTGCGACCCTGAGAGGCGAGACGAGTACAAAATTGTTAAGACTGATTTATTATCTTTTGCTCAGCGTGCGTCTTTACTCTTTCGAGGAGTACTTGGACTTTGTATACAATTTTTGAATTTTTTTCAACAACCTTTTGAGCTGAGGAATTTGTTTTTATACATTTCTCTTAAGAAATATTTGCAGTTTTTTATTTTTATATTAAGTAATAGTACAAAAAATGAATACGCCAAGAAGGTAACCCTTTTCTTTCTTTTTTCATATGTTACCAATCCCACATTTCAAATATTTATTATTTTCTTCTATTCTTGTTATTACTACTACTAATGTTTTTTAAGTTATTGGAGAATCTTTTATAGGAGTGTTCATTTTTAAACCCCTTTTTCTAGAAGTGTAAATAATTGTAACACGAATATCTTTATAATTACAAGTTCGCGCATTATTAATTTAAATGGAACCCAATTAGACTTAAGTGGAAGTTTAAGCCCTTTTAAGGAAAACTGGATTGGGTTTGGGAAAGTTCGCAATACTGTGTAATTATTTAGATTCACTTTCACTAAAAAAGGGCATTCCGAGATCTTCAAAACAAGCACTAAAGAGAGAAACAACTTTGTGTAGGAATATAATTCCATAAATCTAGATTTGTAGTAAACAATGCTCCTAAGTTCTCTCTGATTGGGGAAGGGCATTTCCAGCTGGCATTCCTCTCTTTGGATTTCCTTATCAGACGCCACCTAAAGCTCGATTTAGGCTTACCGCAAGGTTGGCCTTCTTCTTATCAATGTCTTGGTCCTCCACAAAGGCGATTTGGGCGCGTGCCACTTTCCCAACGAGTGTGAGGAGGGCGAAGATTAGCAGGAGATGACGGTTGATCATCGTTTACTCTTTTCTCTCTTTCTGTTGTGATTAACGGGTATGCAAAATCGGCGCTATACTGACGGCTTTACAAGATAACACAAACACAAAACAAGACTTCACTTGGACGTTTTCTGAGCTTCCAGCATCGGCGGAGAACAGCTCCAGACTATGTGGATCCGCTCTCATTGACTTCCAATCAGAGTTTCTATAAAGCTAGTGTTGCAAAGTTAACAAAGATCGAAGCTTAATTAAAGCTCATTGATTTCAACGAAATATGTTTGTATGGAAATTTAACTTAAAAATATATTAACTGAGAATGTGGAATAGAATAATAGACTTATTTATGAAAAAGTAAACAGATAATATTCATTACATACATAATTTTTAGAGACACTTAAATAGTACCCCGTATGACTTTTTTTATTCTTTATAATTACAATTAAAACCTAAATAAAAACAAAAGTAATCCAAAATTAAAAGAAACAAAAATTCAAAATTACGTCAGGAATTCAAAAATTCAAATTATTACACCAACCAACACTACCTCGTAACTTATCAACACTGGCCGCTTTATCCATCGATGAACTTCCATCACCATTCGATATTTTCCTTTGTCAAAAAAAAGTAAATAAACGAATTTTACTGTCCAACAAATCGAATCAAAATCACATTACAACAAATGGACGACGAGGAGACAGCAGGTGAGTCCGAGGACTTTAAATTTTATCAAGTATGCAGCTATTAACAAGTGTACGACATTCAATTGCGCAGAAATCAATTCGGGTCAGCAGTCGACAGACGCAGTGGGGGCCCAAGGCTATGCAAATGGTGGGGCGGGGGCGATGGGGGAGCCGAGAATGCAGCCTCCGGAGGATGCGCATGAAAGCGAGGAGGTACAGCTGCAGCCTCAGCAACAGGAGGAGCCACAGGAAACTGGGAACAGTGCAATAGATCCCCTGCAGGCAGCGGGGGAAGACGACGTTTTCGCAGATCCGGATGAGGAGCGAGCAGACGCTAGTAGTGACATGTCTCTCGAGAGTCGCGGCAGCGAAGGTGAGTTGGCCCACATAAATCCCTATCCGAGCTGATCATTTAACTTTCCCCCGGCAGATGACTCCGATTTAGAGGCCCTGCCCCGCTGGATGATTCCACCGAACCGCCATATTTCCGCTGTGGAGCAGATGGTGGCGCAGGCCCGCAACCGGGATGGAGGAATAGCTGCCCTGCTTAACCGGGATAATTTCCTGCAGCGAGTGCGTAGCATGGTCTTCAGCCAGGAGCGGCGTCGCAGTCGAACTAGCGATGAGACCAGCCAGGAGGAGGCCGAACCTTCAAACCCAATCCTGCCACCGCCGCCAGCACCCGCACAGCTCGACATCGAGATGGAGGAGGGCGTGCACTTTGATACCAATCTGCCGGCGGAGCACTCGTACTTTGGCACGCACCTGAGTCGCGTGCCAGGCGTGGACTACCTTGAGGTGGGCAGTACCCATCACATGCTCATCTTCCTGCACCAGCATATCCTTTTTCCCGGCGAGGTTCTGCCCTTTATGATCGACGGGAGCATGTTCGATGACGACATGCCTGGCCTGGATGGCCTGATCTTTGGCGTTGGCTTCCCGCTGATGCAACCGCCGGAGAACAACCCGCACAAGTTGTACGGTGTCACCTGCCAGATCTACGAGAGAGGTGAGAGCGACCGAGAGTTGGTGTTCTACAAGTCTCGAGCTCTGCAGCGCATTGTCATCAACTGCAACGACATCCAGGGGTGAGTGTTAGATTTATCTTTCTCAACATGAATCCTTTTGCTCAATCTCCAAATGTTCGATCCCCAGACCGCCGCACTACATTGCTCGCAATCCGACGACCAAGTGCTTCAGCAAAGTTAAGATTTTGCCCGAGTATTTCCTGCCCGAGCCCCTGCAAACCGTGGATATGGGTTCCATGGCCCGGTTTAGGGATATTCCCTCAATGCGGGACCAGTACCGCCGATTTCAACTAGCCAGCACTCCCTGGCCGGCGGACGCCTGTCAGGAGTATGCCTTTGACGACATTGTGGAGCGCGCTCGCAAGAAGCTGGAGATTCACAAGATTAATACCATGCCAAAATGTCCCATCCAGCTGTCGTTCTGGCTGGTGCGAAACCTCCACCTAAACGAGAAGATGATGCGGCAAACCTTCCTTACAGACTCGGTGAACACTCGCCTCCAGTTGATCGGGAGCACGCTGAAGGAGGAGTCCTTCTTCTACTGCCGCTATTGCAACAGCAGCCTGGCCCACTGCTCGGATCTATTTGCCATGTCCAAGCACGGGGTACAGACGCAGTACTGCAATCCAGGTGAGAAGAGGAGTTCAATTATAAATTATGTCAATTCTAACCTATGCTATTTTTAAAGAGGGCTACATCCATGAGACAAACACCGTGTACCGGGTAAGACAGCATGCCATCGGCTACAGCGGTGAGCCATCCACCAAATTCAGCTGGTTTCCGGGCTACCAGTGGCACAGCATTCTGTGCAAGTTTTGCGCTCAACACGTCGGATGGGAGTTCAAGGCGGTGCAGCCAAATCTCGCTCCCAAGGTGTTCTTCGGCCTGGCTGGGTCTAGCGTTCGGATTGGAGGGGCCAGCGAGAACACAGTCAACGGCAGCTCGTTTGTGGTGCGGAACATGTTGCGCCTGATCTCCAATGAGATGGAATGAGGTTGGCGCGCTGTGAAGCGTTGCTTCTGTTGCTGCCGTTGTACGAATGACAATGCTTAAATCGTTGCCCACCTAGGCGCGTCAGCTCCCAAGATGTGGGAAAGATTGATCTACACATATGGATGCGTATATGTTCTTTAGATAAAATAAATTATTCCTAGTTCATATTTAAGATAATTTGAAAATAAAACTAAAGCTTTTCTTTAAGTTTCTCTTGAAAAACTGTCTTATAAGGAAATACTGAGCGGGATCTCTGTCTTTCAGTCATCCAATAGGGCCACAAAGGAAGTCGAGAGTTTCTGCAGCAATGGAAATTAGGAATCCAGAGGGGAAATCAGGAATCTTTCAGAAACTTACCGCCTTGCAGAAGGGACACAAGCCGAAAGAGACCTCCAGGAAGGTCTTGCCCTCCATTAATGTCTGGAACCACTCCTTTAAGCAGGCAGCATGGCAGTTGAGAACACATTTGGTGTTGTCGCAGGAAACTAGAGGCACTTCTCCACCGTCAAGGCGATATTCGAAGCAGATGTTGCAGCGCTTCTGCTCGTCATCCTCCTCCTTTTGCTTTGGATCATCCGTCCACTCTGGCATGGGGAAGTAGCAAAGGTCAAAGATGCGCAGCAGGTTCTTGTGCATGTCCAGTTCGGGGTCCCAGTTCCCCAGACCGTCGCTCAGCACGTGCCGCAAGCGTGCCACCTCCTCCGTTGGTCCAATGATCTTCAAAGCCATGGAGGCAATGCAGGCAAAGGGATCAACGATGGTCACCTTAAGGTAGACGCGATCCATGAGAGGAAACACCCGTGAATTATGCTTGGTGGTAACGGGAGACGGCTGCAGCACATGGCACAGCTCATCGATGTCCATGAAGTTATCGTAGAACGGGCGCAGCTCCTCCAGAACCTTGCGGAAGAGTATGAGGACATCCTCCAAAGTCCTCGCACTCTTGACCATCATTTCAGCCAACGGAATGCAGTCGGGCAGGCTGTTCTCCAGCAGCCGCAGAGAGGGCACTTCCAGTTCCAAATAATGCTTTTCGTAGTCGACAAACTCGCTGAAACGAATTCGGGAACAGGCATCGTTCGTTTGCAGGCGGTACTCCTTGGGCTTGTGTAGCGCCAGGATATCGGCGTATATGTTCCCTTGCTCCGGGGCATCCCTTATGCAGGATATGGTTTCTTTGATGGGCAGAATCTTTTCCAGATTCCCCAGCAAGTCCTCCAGCAGCCAGTCATCCTGAACCTTTAGGTTATCAGCCGTATAGAGTTTGTATTCCAAGTGCTCCTGCACATACAGCTGGAAGCCATGGAGTGCCGGATGATGGGGTACATAAAGCTTCAGGCGACGCCAGTTTCCCTGGATTAATTAAACATTTTAATTTTGGCGGGAGCTTTGGGGTTAATATTACTCACATCATTGCAGATAACTCCACGGATAATGCACGCACCGCTTGGCTGTCGCTCCGCCAGCAGGCCAGGATGCTTGCCTGCCAGGAATTGTTCCAAGTTCCGTTCCTCACTGTCCATAATCTTGGTATTTTTGAGCACAAAAATTAGGATAACTTTTGTTTACCTTTTTAAAACATCGTTTGAGATGGCACTTTAATGGTTACCCCAATTGTGCAAAATCGATTACTTTATCGACAATCGGTGGGGAATTCAAATGTAATGGTGATTCTGTTTCCGTCAAATTTACGAAATGTAAAAAGAATTGGGTGATCTCACCTACCGCAAGGAAGGAGAGCCGAATCCGCCGGCTTATCAGACAGATTTATGTGCTCTTGTGATAGTTATTCGTCAGAGTGTAACACCTGCAGCCCTCAAGTAACACCTGGTGGCAGACCCGGTATCAAAAGGCACTGATCACTGCTATATAAGGGCGCCGTCGGCCGTACTAATTCCATTCTCATCAGCAGCGTGAGCGCGAATACATTGTAGTTCTACTCTTATCAAAGATAACAGAAGGAGGAACTTCCCCACTACCAAAAATGTTACGAATTATCTTAGTTTTGGCCTTGGCTTTGGTCACAGTCAGTGCTACCAATGTTAAGCAGTGTAAGTCAATTTTGTTTTGTTATAAGAACGTACAAATTTAGAACTTGGCATTCATTTTTCTAAGTAAATATTTAGTAAAAAGGTTTCATTCAATAATCACAATCTCTTTGAAGTTATTTTTGGAACTATTGAAGAGTCTTTAAGAGTCTTTTTCAGCCAACTTCTCCGCCGTTCCTAGTATACTTTTCAGCTCACCTGTTGCACTGCTTGGTCTTTTATTTTCAGGTAAGGACAAGCCGTTTCCCCTATCTGTGAATATCCAGGACTGTGAGGAGCCACCTTGCGTGGTCTACAAGGGCACTATCGCGGTGATGGAGGTCCACTTTCTGGGTAGTAAGTAGAAGTAGCATATCCTTATATCCACGTCCTTTATTAATTTATGGTTTCCCGATAGATAACAACAACATTAAGAGCATCACAGCCACTACAACGGCCAAGGTCCTGGGCATGAATCTGCCGTATGACCTGCCCGAGGAGGTGTCCAATGTGTGTATCAATCTATTGTACGGCGCCATGTGTCCCATCGACAAGGGCGAGGATGTGACATATCAATTCAACTTCTATGTGGAGCCTGCCTTCCCCGAGATCACGGCGGATGTCACTGTTACGCTGAACGACGAGGATGGCGAACCGATTAGCTGTTTTATAGTCAGCTGCAAGCTCCGAAAGGGAGCGACGGCTTTGTTGGAGTAAAAGTTGATATATTAATCCCCTAAAAAGTATCAATCTTTTTTCCTTAGAGGGTCACAGAAGCTGGTTTTGTTGAAATAGTATCATAACTGCAAAAATTCAATAATAGTTACAGGCTTCCCTTGGCTGAAGCTTCGCAGGATCCTTGCCGCTCAGGAACTATTTAAAATTCGATTCCTTATCCTTATTGCCCATTAACTTAATATTTTTGAAAACAAAAGCTAACTTGCTGTTGTTTACCTTTTTTAAACACACATCGCCTCTAACGAGAATTCGATTCAAGCAAATCGATAAACATATCGTTAATCGGCGGTAATTTAAGTTCCTTTGCACTCATATTAAGACGCAATGTTTAGCCAGTTCACGGGGATTTCCGTGTGATTCTAGGTAATTAATGCAACTTTGTTAACCCATTGCAAGAAGGGAATGCCATAATAACATCGATTTTGCCGGCTTATCAGTCAAATTTACGTTATTTACTGATTCGATTCCGGCGATTCCACTGTTTGCTCTTCGTCAGAGCGCAACACCTGCAGGTCCCACTGTTTTCATATTTGTAACACCTGCGTGGCGGCCGTGGCGGTATCAATAGCCACCGCCACCTGATAAGCCGCTCTCCCGAGCCACTGGTCATCGCACGGACGACGCCACCTATTTAAGGTTCTGCGCCGGCCACAGTGATTCCATTCCCATTCCCATTCACGGCTATCAGCTGCGTTCGCGCGTACCGAAGACATTGTAGTTGGTTAATTACTGGCCAGAGATTACAGGAGGAGATTCCCAACGACCGAAAATGCAGCGAATTATCTTAGTTTTGGCCTTGATTTTGGCCACGGTCAGTGCTACCAATGTAAAGCAGTGTAAGTACCTCGATTTGGGAGCTTCGTTTTGTAGCCAGGAAACCTTAACATCGATTTGTGGTTTAAGGCTTAAAATAGAAGAGGGATTCATGGTCTCAAAGTAATCCTTGGCCTAGTGATTCATTGGCTTATTCCACAATCTCTATGAATTTCTCTTGAAACTATTGCCAAAAATACTTTGATATGGAAAATAAAAGTCCTCAAAGGTATCTCCCGGCTGGGTGATGATTAGGCTTTATCAGTGAGAGTCGGCGTGCTAATCTTTCCGAGCTTTTTCCGCAAATTCGTAGCCTACTTCTTGGATCACCAGTTGCATTGCTTTATTATTTTTTTTTTTTGCAGGCCCGGATAAACCGTTTCCACTGGCCGTGAGAGTCGTGGACTGCGAGGAGCCACCATGTGTGGTCTACAAAGGCAAATATGCGGTGATGGAGGTCCATTTTCTGGGCAGTAAGTAGGAGCAGCATATCCTTATATCCATGTCCTTTATCTAATTTTGGTTTGCCGACAGATGACAACAACATTAAGAGCATCACAGCCACCACAACGGCCAGGGTCTTGGGCATGAATCTACCTTACATCCTGCCCGATGAGGTCTCCGATGTGTGCCTCAATCTTCTCTACGGCGCCATTTGTCCCATCGACAAGGATGAGGATGTTACTTATCAGTTCAACTTTTATGTGGAGCCTGCTTTCCCCGAGATCACGGCGGATGTCACTGTCACACTGAACGATGTTAAAGGCGAACCGATCACCTGCTTCGTGGTCACCTGCAAGATCCGGAAGGGACCAACTGCGACGCAAAGGGAGGAGTACTTGCTGGACTGGACGAACCCCCACTCCGAGTAGCGGACGCGACGATGCACTCTACTCCAGCCACCGGTACCAACTGACTTGCTGAATATTATCACCATTATTATTCAACGAAAAATATACTCAGAGCTCTGCAGACGATAGCCGAAGCGTTTGTTTACCTTGGCGACCTACGTCACGGATTCCAGTGTACCCGGGGGCCAGCAGTCGCCTTAGATTAGCACATTTCGCGAATCGCCGATTAGATGGTTAAACGGGTCGTGTTTTTGCTTATATATAGAGTCATCGGTGACGTGCCTTTTTGCACCGAATGTCCAGTAATATATTTCCACTGATTCAATGGCAACGGCAGCACAATTGCCAATAAAATCGTATCGATAAACATTTATTGACCGCCTGCGTTAAATCGCGTTGACCATATGGTCAAAAGTTGGGCTCCCCGACCTGATAAGGAGCTAACCATTTGGCTGAGTGCAATTCTACACTGGGCCGAAATATGATGACTTTCTGCTAAAGATGATGGGATAAAAATAGTTTCAACCGATTAAGCGTAATGATTAGTATGGTTTCTTGGAACGTTATCTTTTGCTGCCAAAAAAACTAATTTACAAGCTGCACGCAGAGATTTAGGGTTCCTAAATTAAATGGTGCGAAAACCATTTAAAATGAACACTTTAAAATTTAATTAGTTAATGTCTTCGATAAATTATAAGACTAAGAAAATATTTTTTATTACCTTATAAGTGTTACTTAATTTAAATTGATAGTTTGCTAAGTTCAACAAGTTTTTTTTTTAATATGGATTGTTAAGAAACTTTTTGTTCTCTGTTCTATAATTTATCATAGACATAAATGAATTTTCTAGCTTAAAAATATATTCTGAAATCCCTGGCATCTTTTACTACTGCCAAGAATCTTATTAAAACTTATTAAATGAGTTTTAAACCTATGTATATTATTAAAAAACATATACATATTTTTACTTACAAAAATAAATTTGAATAGTGACAAAAGTAACACTAAACTTAAGTATATTGCATTCAAGAAATACTTCAAAGACAATATTTTATACTTTAACAAACACACCAAAATCAACTAAACAAAAACACAAACAAAAATGCTTAGTTAAATAAATTTTTAATGAGTTTTAAAGTCTTTTGGCTGAAATCTGTACACAAAATCTTGATTAAATTAATAATGCCAAAGGTAGCATTTTATATTTCCTGTAATTTTGATTGGATGCACCTGACGACTCGAATTTGATCATCGAATACCAATTTTATCCTTTATCTACTCCAAAAAAAATGTATACCAATGTTAAAGAATATTTAATGATCAAAGTTTAAGTTAACTTTGTCAAGAGACAAAATTGACTGCAACTACTTAATACTCTCTTATTTTATTGATATATCAAAGGAAAGCTGCGCTATTTATAGGCCACTATATCAAGTGAATATTAAAGCAAATATAAATATAATAAAAATGCATATAATTTACTATTCAAGATCCTTGCTTCATAAATCTTGACTGGGACTTTTTTACAGTGCACTAGTCATCGAAAATAAATCAGATAATCTCGATGATTTGCCGGATTTTGATAGCTGGGTACATTTCTCTGCTTCTTGGCATTGCCCGCGAACAGGTGTTTGGCCGGTCGCGTTCGAGCAGGTAATCAGACTCGAGATTTGCGAATTATTATTTGATTCGATTATGGCTTTGCGTCCACTCGAATTTACACCTTAATGGCAACGTGTGCAGATAGCAACGATGGCCAATAGGAAGCCTTGTAAACCGACCCAATAAATATGGCCCAAGTCTCTTGAATACTTTTAAGGAAACCTCCCCCACATACATGAGTGGGTCTGAGGCTTTTAAAATTTTATTAAATATGCATGAGGCATCATTTAGGGGGTGAGCTCAGCGAAAGATGTTTTGTTTTTGAAAAAAAATATAAGGAAATATATATAGAAGGAAGGGACTTGCATATATCACAGTAATTTAGACCAATTAATGATTGAGTTCCGCTCTAATTTGACCCTACTCTCGGTTGAGATAGTCCAGCTGATAGAACGTGTTGCCGCCATTGCCCTTGACCACCTTTATATCGCACACAAAGCATGTGGCTATCTGCTTATCCTGGTCCACCAGATAGATCTCAATCTTCACACCAATCTCTGGATACTCGCCGATGGGAAAGGAGAACAAGTAGGTCACATCCTCGGTGGGATACAGGGGGCAATATGCGCCAAACATGAGATTCGGACACACGGCAGCCACATCTGCGGGCAGCTCATAGGGCACCGTGATGATACCCAGAGTGGTGGCTTTCACCAGAGTCGTCATCTCGGTTATATACTTGTCCACAGCGAAATCGATCTCAAAGATTTGTGTCGATCCCTTGACAATGTTACAAGGCGGAGTGAGGCAACCTGCTACGCGGACCTCCAACGGAAAGGGTTTACTTCCGGAGCCTAAATGGGATTAGTGATTAGTTAGTTAGGTTTTTAAATATATAATGCTGCTATAGTTTGCCACTCACATCGCTTCACTTCCGTCGCCGGTAGCTTCTCATCCGTCGCCTGGACAAATGCCAATAATCCCAGAGAGATCAGTATCAGTATCAATGCCTTGACTTGCATGTTTCTTGGTTTGAATTGCTTTTGGCCAACGGTGCTGACATCGTTTTTATAGTCCGGATCCGAAGAGGTTCGCCTCTTCGGCGGAATACGAGCACGGATTCGTATCTAATCATATTTCCTCGATTGGTGGATTTCTAAGCAATCGAAATGGGCTTTCACGTTGCAGAAGATCACTGCTGTAATACTCATTTGATCACATTTAAATACAAATTGTTGATATTTTGATTAGCAGTGTTAAATATTTAAATTCTTGTCATTTTTTATGATGATGCATTTCCTTAAAATGTTCTCAAAAATTAAAAATATGAAGCAAGGACCAAAGGATCTACCAATGATTACAACGAGTCTTGGCAACAAGTCTTGGACCTTCTTAAGTAAAAAAACTGCACAGAATCATGGCCTAAATTTTCACCATTAACCGTTTAATTAAAACAACTGAAATGTGAACCTTTCGCTGTATATGTTATGACATCAAATTTCCGAATTAATAAATAAAACATTATTCGATTTCAACAAAATAGGGTTATTTTAATTTGATTAAAGAAATGCAAATTGATTATAATTTCTGATACTGTTAAAATCGAACATTTATAAACGCATTCATTAAAATGATCTGATATATCTTTGAATATTCACTTAAATGATTTAGAGAGAGAGTTCTGTGTAGTATGTAGAGCTTTGGTGTAAACAATATCATTTTGTCCTGACTCAAGGATAACAATAAACTATAGAGAGGTACACAATTACCCTATAATTAAATAACCCCTTTATCCACTTACTCGAAATCAAGTCTCAATACAAATTTCAGAATCAATTCGCATCATCAGATATAGGTTCCGAATGGGTCGTGAAATTATGATATTTGGCAAGAGAATTTTATCACTTCATCGCAGAGAGTTTTCTCCTGCCAGGAAGGAGGTGTGGTGCCAAAATAAATCCCGGAGCACTCCGCTGCCACTGCACCACCGCACCACCGCAAAGGCAGGCCACTAAGCCTGCTGATGGCAATGGAGAGACCCTCAGACATTTGTGCCTTGGCCAAAGCCACTGACAATGGAACTCCGGCGGGAGAAATGTCCGGGTATAAAGGAAGCGGACTAAAAGTAAGCTGGAAAATGTAATTCCTCCTCCGAATTCCCACTCCCTTCACCATACTCAAAGGTTGGCGAAATGTTTTTTTTGCCAAAGGTAGGAAAAGCGAGGTAGTTTCGAAGGGTTTTCAACAGTTTAGGTAAGTACTTTGAGTATTTTGACAATCAACCCTCGCAATTTTTTGCCAAATTTTGCGATGGTTTGGTGGTGACTTTGGACAGCAGCAAAGCAGCATGAGATTTTCTCAAAATGCTTTTGAACTCGCCCGGGCCATGGCAGGGCAGGAGGAGAGGGAGGTAACCAACTGTCATCGCTCCGTCGTCACATGTAATTGTTGCGACATTATTTAATATGTCAAAGCAATGGAAAATCCGGCAAGACACAGGAAATATAGTATATCCTTGACAAAGAGCTGGAAATGTATCTTAGGGAACCGCAATATTTGATTAGCATCAGGCCGAAGTCCTGATACACATCGATTCCTTCCCACTCCTGCCGGATTCTATTTTCGGTGTCATTTAATGCAATTATCTGTGGGGGAAAATCTGACGAATGCTCTTACACTTTGCAGTTGTTTCCGTTTCCGTTTGCACTTTTGGGTGCTCTTCCCTTTTTTTTTGCATATTCCCAAATGTATTGCACGGTTTTATACATATATCCTTAGCTTATCTTTGATGTGTGAGTGTGTGTGCGAGCCTTTTTCTTTAGAAATCAATAACGATTGGGAGGAGGGAAAAGCTAAGAGCTCAGTGCTGCTTGTGTATTGATTATATTTTCCGGCCGAAAAAGTATGCAACACTTTCTGGAGCTCAGTCAGTGCTTTTCACTCACTCTAACCCCGCCCTTTTGCCGCTGCTAACTCAATTAATTTGTCAAATCAAGTCAGACATCAAATGCCAGCGCCAAAGCCAAACAATTTGTCACGCCAATCCCGTGGTGTCCTGTCCCTGCCCCTGCCCCTGCCCCTGCTCCTGATCCTTGCTCCTTACTCCTGCCCCAGGTCGGTTGTCTGTTCTATTTCAATTTGATATTTGTTTGCACGTAACTCAATACCAGAGTGACATTGTGTCTCAATTAGGCGACAATTTGATTTTCGTGTTGTTAATTTTTCATTAAACTTTTCGGCGCGGCTGCCGTGTGCTGTCAATTAATGACGGAATTTACCCCAAAAAGGACACGCCCAAATGCCCAGAGAGGGAGAGAGAGAGAGAAAGGACCCCTCAACAGGTGTGCAGGACAACCCTTAAATCGGGGAAATCATATCCTCGCCTTGATGGTATTTATAACTATCCAAGTGCATTCAGCTGTTTCTTTTTTAACAAGCAAAATCTATGTGTGGTCAGCCAAGTGACCAACTGGCCTTGAGACAATTTCCCAGGACTTTCCACCTGGAGAAAAATAATAAAACAGGATCGAAAAGAGAGAGGGTAAAGTGCTTTTCCCGCTTTGTTGCACACTTTGAAACGAAGCCTTCAGCACATTTGCCAATATCAATTTGCATATGTCGTCATGCGAAAATGTTTCTTTATTAAATTTTTCCAGCAAGTCCAAGGGAAGCTAATTAATTTTCCCCCACTTTCCCAATGCACTCTGCTCTTGCTTTTGGCACTGTAATTAAGTGAATGCGAAATTCATGTTTCCCAAAATCAGGCGGTACATGCGTTGCAACAAGTTCGGCTGTCGAGTAATTTTCCTCCCCTGAAAAGTGTTGGCATTTACCTCAGGAGCCACACCAGGACTTTTCCTGGCAACGCAATTTCACCTGAGAAATGTGCCCAGTTCGGGTGAAAAGAAGTTTCGTTAATTTGCATAAATATGTACAAGTCGCTCTCATTCTCCTCCATATAATTAAAATGTTAGTTTGAAGCCTTCAGAAGAGTTCCATAATTTGAGAGCTGCGCGCTCACCTGTAATTGCACTTGGCTTTGAAGGATACCAGGTAAGAGGTTTGAAATTCCTAGGAAAATGCCTAGGGGTTTCCTTTGAACTCTAAATGTGTTTACCTTGGAAGTTAGATGGCTTTGCAATGATATTCAGTTGTACAATCTTGGGAGTTCTGCCCTGGCATTAGGTGCAGAAAAAGTGCAGGTAAATGCCTCAGTAATTTTGGAAATGGGAAATTTAAGATGACAGAAATCAAATATATACATATATTATAGCTTATAACTCTGTGAAGAAATCATTTCCGACCATATAAATCATATATATTCTTGATCAGAATCAACAGCCGAATCGATCTAGCCATGCCTTAAAAAAAAATAAATTTTTTAAATTTTTTCGAAATTTCAAAATTTCATAAGGGGTTACATCGTTAAAATTGTCAAAAATTGAAAAAAATTTTAATTTATTAAAAATTTTAAATTGAGTATGCAGATTTATTAACCCAATAAAAACTAACATAGGACAGCTTTCCGAATGAAAATTAATACGTTTTTGGCTTAGTTATGAGATTTTAAACTTTGATTTTCCGGAAAATTGTTATACATAAATCTTGATAAATATGGAATTTGAATATTTTAAGCTTAGTTATTATAATAAATTTACAAAGTACAACTGTATATAAATTTAACTTCCCGAAATTAGTTGATACCTTTACTTCGAATCTATTTTTTTTCTATTTTTAATAATTAGAATTATCAAAACTTTAAGATGATTATGATACTGATAACTTAGCGATACTTATATGATATATATATTCTAGAATTTTGCCTTTTTCTAGAGAGTTCCTTTAAAAAAAACTTTCAAAAATCCCATAAATATTAGACTAAACTATTGCGTAGTAAAATATTACATTAAAATATCAACTAACTACAATTTGTAATCCTAATGTTTGCATTGAATACAAAACTATGTTTTTGTTTATATTTTCTTAATGAATTATGCAGTAATAAACCACCCATAAATGTCACTTTAAATGCATTAAAATGCCATTAGCGTGCTTATTAATTATGTAAATGAAAATTAAACAAACTGTACAGCCAATTGAGTGCTCAAGAAGACTCCGCCCTCCGTTTAACCCAACTCCTTCCCCGTAATCATTTACCCATTTTGACGGATGATGAACGTAAACATTTTGGAATCGCGGAGCTAAGCTAATTTGCATATAAAACAGTTGAATTTGCTAACAAAATCTGAAAATATTGATGAAATTTGGGCAACCCTCGAGGGCTGATGCTGCTCCTGTTCAAGTGAGTGTAAGAAATTGTGTAAAACTTGCTGCAAATTGGCTATGCATATAAATCGATGTTAATGTCCCCTTTTGCAATGTCAGGGATGATGATGATGATGATGATGATGATGTCCGTGTTTGGCCTGAAAGTATGCAAGAAATGGATGATGGTAAAGTTGCTATCTTGGTTGCCAAGTTGGTCACTAAATCATCGCTAATCGCTTTGCTAATTTTTATTTTTATTTTAAACAATCCCAATGGGTACAAGTGCACCTGAAAGTGGGGACAACTGGACAGGTGTTCGTTGGTCAGCTTATCAGAGACCGAAATTAGCTGGTTCTGCACTTGGCCAGGTCAGGTGTACTGGCTGCCTTGTTATGATTAAATTAAGGTTATATTATGGCTATTCCAAAGGTGACTCATTTGAAGATTTTATGATTAAGATTAACTACCTTTGGCTTATTAGGAAATCCAAACAAATCATTAGAATATTTCCTATGATTAAAAGTACTTAACTAAGTAACTCCTGCCCTTGATATGCTTGATTAAAGATAATGATTTTCCCACAAAGAAGCTAAAGCCAAATCCCCTTTTAGAAATTCAAGTGCGTTTGAGACGTAATTATGATCATAAAATTTGTGCAAAATCAAACTTAATTTTTGGTGCAAACGTTTAAATCGATTAGATTAGTAAGCAAGTGCAAAGGCACCGGTTTAGTATAAATACCCCAGCGATTAGTGAATTTGGGATACAAATCAAAAAGTGCTTTCAAAGTAAACACACCAGCAAAGTAAATAAACCCAGAAAAAATGACCAGCTTCAAGAAGTTCTCCCTAAGCCTGATGCTTTCTCTTATGTGGACTTTGGTGGCGGCCAACACTCCCTTCCGGCAATGTGAGTCTGGACTAAGGAAACCCCTTTTTAAGTACTTTTTTAATAAATTAAATTAAATTTTAAATTTCACAGGTGCTGACACAAGCTTTCCCCAACCCTTGACAGTTCAAATCGATGATTGTGACACCTTGCCCTGTGATTTGTGGAAGGGTACTGAGGCCAAGATTGATATTCAGTTTGTGGGCAGTAAGTATTATTGGAAAAATCTCTAAAACATATTAAAATATATTAATTTCTCATTCTCCTATTCAATAGCTCGCAATACCATGTTCAAGCTGTCGGCTGAGGTGCATCTGACCTCGTTGGGGGTCACCATACCCTATGACCTGGACTCTGCTCGTGGTAATGTTTGCAACAATCTCCTGCATGGCGCCTATTGTCCCCTGGATGCCGGCGAGGATGTGACCTATGAACTGCTCCTGCCTGTAGCTAGCAATCAGCCGGAAGTGCCCACCCGCCTGGAGGTGCGTCTCCTGGACACTGAAAACGAGAATCGAGTGGTGTCCTGCTTCCTGGCCGATACGCGCGTTAAGAAGCCAAGTTCTTAGGCCAAAGAGCTACATAATAATGATTAGAGTTAGTCCAGACATTGCATCAATGTCGCAGCCTTATGTGAGGCCAATTAATAGAGCTTAAGCCATGGGGCCACTTAAGCCCCACCACAAACACTATTAGCACTTATGAATAAATAATTAGGGGAAAATATTATAAATAATCGACATGAATCGGCTGAGTTAATTACCCCGGCTTGGCTCACATATTGGGGGCATATGTACTAAGCTGGATACACACTCAAATATGGCTCAGAGGGTGCCATGAATCGGCTTAATTAAATGACGCAGAAAATTACGCACACACCGAGTGGTGGAGTTTGGTAGAAGGTGGAGATTTGCAGGTGCTGCTTGTGGTTTAAGCCAACTCTCGTTTTTTGTTGTTGTGTTTTTTATTTTTATTTTTTAGAAAACTGCAAACTTTTCATTGCTCCATTTACACGCACAGCTCCTATGGCTTCCTTCCGGGCCTCAAAGCTAATTGGCTTTTCAACACTTTGGTGCTTCCGACAACTGATGACGATGACGATGATGGAGGAGGAGGAGGAGCCGGTGGCGGTGGCGGTGGCTAAGGCGATGGTGTATTCAAATGGAGGTCTAATGAACAAGCTGCCTGATGGCAGCGCATATCCGTCGGTTAGCTAATTGAGACGTTGACTAAGGTGGTGACATATAGCTAAGAACTACAAATTGGTCTCTAACTAAGGAGTAAGTTTTCCCTTAATCGGAAATAATTTAAATACAAAATGTTCAGGGAAAATGTAATACAAAATACTATGATAAATGGTAAACTATTTTATAAGTATTTTTATTAAAATATTTTAAGTAGTTAATTGTGATAAAAAGAAAAGTCTAGATTCAAAAAGAAAAAAGATTAGTACAATAGATTAAAATAATACACAAGTTATCTCCTAAGTTTTAACTTTTTTCAACCTTTGTTATTATTATTAGAGATTAAAGTATGACTAACTATGACTCATATTGATCATTGTTACTATTTTCCTGTTATTAATTTAACCTACACGTGTTCGAGTACAGATGTACTGAGAATCGCAGCCAACCGAATCGATTTCATGATGATAACATTTAGACAAATGATTAGGTTTATGTTTATAAATTAAACGAGTACTTAGGCCATCATACTATATATCTGTCTAGTCATGATTTAGACGAGATATATGAGAGTATTCGAATCGAAGGATCTGCTGTGTGTTTATATCAAAATGAAAGTCAGTCGGTTCGGTTTGTTTTTGATCTCTGCTGTAATAAAACTCACCATTGAGGTGGCTGGCAATGAGGAGTCCTATTTGACCACCTACAGCAGCAGTCACAAGGTAAGAATATAATATATTCAATATATTGTTCTTTTATTTTTGTATGAACTAAAATATTATTAATTTTATGATACATAGAAAGCCCTGGTTGCCATCCAGCACATCCATGTCTTTGGCGAATCACTGTACATGAAGGTGAGAGCCTACATCCACGAGGATCGTCATCACTTCGATTTAAATGTGCGAATGGTTAGGGAACTGGGCAGCAATCATTTAATTATGAACATAAAGGTGCGTGTTAGGCCCGAGGGAGGCACAAAGTTTGTGCAATTATTCGAATTGCGAAGGATCAACTTTTGCGGCTTCCTCAGCGAATACAATTCGAGTCCCATGCTGCGATTCCTATTCAAAAAGAACATTATCCTAAGCGATGTCATCGAGTGTCCCATCCGAGTGGGCAACTATTCGATGCTGAACTCCAATGTGGCGGAAAATATCCAACCGGATGGAGTTCAGAACGGCACCTACAAGTTCTTTGCCGAAATTGTGGAGGAGAATGGGGAAATAGCCAAGGTGTTTGCCCTACAAGTCACCACATTGGTGTATATTGTGGAAAAGGATGATGAGGAGGTATCTAAAGAAGAATGAGCAGATATCCTTAATAAGTCATTAATGTACTCCAAAATAAATCATTTTCCATCATAACATTATAAATTCTAGAATCGTAGCCAGTCAAATTTATAGAAAAACGATAAAGTCCAGGGGCGAGTCTAGCCAAGAAATCGTGTAAAGGACGAGCTCCTAATCGATATATATCTCTAATAAAGTAATGGGTAAACGGAAACAAAATCAAATAAACATTTTGGAATTAATTAAAAGTGCTACATTTTAACTATCAAATATCGATGTATCAGACTCTACGATAATATGCTAGATATTTTTTGCGGAACATATCTTAAATCTAAAAGAAATAATATAGAAGATGCAAAATATATTGTAAAATAATAGTCGAAAAAAGCACATTTTAATATTATATATATTAAAATGTTAGATATCAAACTGTATTAAGTTTTGTATAATTTTATCGATATATCATCTATAACATTTCCTTTTAATATAAATATTAGTATGCTAAGTTTTGGTCACACAGGGGTTAATCAATCGGGTATCAAGCCAAACAGGTGTTCATTTAATAAATGTTCAACATTAAACCAACTGATGGTGAATGGACCATGACCACCTGATGACCGCCAGTTTGATGACTCTGCTCATTGCGCGATGAACTTCGTTCGGTTGGCGTTGTTTTTTCCGCTTTTCCACTGGATTAATGGCAACGAGACCAGCACAAAGTCACTGTGGGACGAGGAGGAGGACGAGGAGATCCAGGTACCCTAGATTCAGCGGTAAACAGTTTGATCTACAGAATTGAAGCTTTGCAGAGACCCGTACTCCGTATCCATCATATAAACATCTTTGGCGATGCTCGCTTTATGAAGGCATTGGCCCACATCAACGAGAACCGCACCCACTTTAGCCTGAGTGTCCTGCTGCGCCAGGAGCTGGGCAGCAATTTTCTGATCTTCAACATCAAGCTGCGAGTGAGACCCACCGGGAAGGTGGTATTCGTGACCCTGCTCCAGATGCGAGGATTGGATCTGTGCGGTTTCTTCACCGAGTTCCGGAATAATCCCATGATGAAGTATTTCCTGCAAACGGAGATGCAGCTTAGTGACTACATTGCCTGTCCCGTTCGCGTTGGTAACTACACGCTGAAGAATGTGAGCGCCAAGGATATATATCCACAGAATCTGCAGAATGGCACCTACAAGTTCTTTGTGGAGGTGGTCGAGGGCACGGCGGAGATAACCAAGGTCTTTGCCCTGCAGGTGACCTCAGAGATTTGGCTGGAATAAACAGAGTGAACACAGAACACACAGCGAACAAGGGATGTGTAATTACGAGTAAATCGACCCACACCACCTTTAGCTTGCATGTTAAGCGGATTGTCCTGGCTTCACCCAAGCAGTTTTCCGCATTTTCCGCACATTTTCCTACCCTCTTTCGTGGCCGTTTTTTCCATTGTGCGTCATGCGCTTCAATTTACTTTACTGGAACATATTGAAAATCGTTTAAGGCGCCATCCAAGTGCATGGCCGATTACAGTGATTATCCTTGGACTATCGGGGACTTGCGTGTGTGTGTCCTTTTAGTTCGACGGGGTTTCCTTTGGATTTCCCGCGGGATCTAGACGAAGCATTGCGAAGCCATATGCGCTCTTTGTGGTCGCAATTCTTATATAATTAATAGAAAAACAATATGTTCAATGGCCAATCAATTGGGAATTTATAGTATATGTATATAATATATATTCTATGTTACATATCTTTAGCTGAAGCTTTCCATTAACCACTGAAAACCCTTTTCCATGGCCCCCTCCCCGGGTAATCTGATATTTTAATGGAGCTTAAAATATTCCTGCCATCGTTAATTAAAATCCGTAATGCGGTTTTCATCGGGTATTATTTTTCACATTTCTGGATTTGTGTTTTTCACCAGGAAAAGGGGTTGAGTGACAACGCCCTCGGATAGGTAATGCCTTTCCTTACGCACAATCAAATCATTTGGCGAATTCAATTTGGCAAAAATAATGCGAATATATATCGAAAAGGGGGGTTTGGGAAAATGGAAATCTAAATTTCAATCTCAGGGAAAAAATTCCTGCAAGTAGCTAAACATAAAAAATTGAGGGGGGAACTGAAAGGACCTCGTGAAGTGCCAATGCCTGCTATCAAGTGTCGCACTTATGTGTGACCTTTGCAAATTCAATTTGTCGCCTTTTTATCTATAAACATTTTCTATTAGCCGGCAAAAAGAGGGTTTTCTTTTGCAATTTCAATTTGAAGGCTAAGACGAAGAGAGGTCAATGGCAGGCGGCATTATATATTTTTGGGAAATTGTTTGGCAAGTCCTTGAGATAATCCTATGGGACAGGTCACCCAAAATTGAAGCAATCATAACTTTACTTCACTACAAATTTCTGTGGAAATTTAAAAATGAAGCCTGAACTCGAGTTTTGCTGGCAATTAAAAAGGCGTTGAGTTGAGCAATTAAACACACGAACCTGCCTCAAAATAATTCACTTAAATAACGCAATGTTGCGTAATTCAGTTTCACAGTTTTGTAATTAAAAGCATTTGCATAAGAATCGCATCGGCCTCGGGCATGCTTTCATGCCACTCTAATTAAAGCCAACCCGTGCCAGGACCCCTGCTCTCGATTCCCCCTTGGTAGGTCCTTCGGGTCGCTTCTTCCCCTAAAGGTCATCAACGTCTTCGACCAAGTCCTTGCGGTAGCAAGTCCTTCGGCCACACATAGTTGTGTTTATGGTTTGTCAATAGCGTTTTGTCCTTTGCGTGGCATACAGGAAGTCCTTAATGTTTCACAGGAGTGCAATTCAATCGGTCGTGTTTTTGAGTCAAACGAAGTTCTTAAAGGGAAAAGAATTTTACTGTACTTTAATTTTGTATTATAAAGATTTTAACTTAAATATTGAAAAAGTTACAAGCAAACAAAAACTTCTAGTTCTCAAAAATAAACCTAAATTTAAATTAAGATAAACCATGCTGTGACTAAGGACAAATATATTTATTTAAATTGATTTCCTTTAAAAATAATAATAATAAATAATAACTTGGAAGCCATGACAATATCTTAATTTAAAAAAAATACGATTTTGGATGTAACGCTGGAAGACTGTTTTGGGATTCGAATCTCACCAAGAATTTTTACTTAGATGCAGAACTGAGACTTCAATTTTGTATTTGGTTAAAAAAAAAATAAATTATTATATAGATTCTTCCGTTGATTATTAAATAATAAATCAATTTTAAAATAACGTCATTAAAATAAAAAAGAAGTAAACAAGGAAAAGCATCCTATGAACGTGTAGCCATTTTTCCCAACAAGTGCATTTGGGGGAGAGCATAGTACAGTATATGCAAACAATGCCTTTTTTTTCTAATTTTCTAATTGTTTTTATTATTCCAATCCAGGCCAATCGTTTACATAAGGACCTTGACAGAGAAAATTAAGGCACAAAAAACGAAAACTAGGACAATGTTAGCCTTGAAAACCAAACATATTTCTCAATTTATTTAAATCGTCGTAAAGTAAAAAAGAAGAAGAAAAGATTGATGAAATCAAAACATAATTCGTTCATTTCCATCTGATAATAAAAATAAATAAATAAAGTTCCAGACCAGTTGAAAGCCAATAAACGAATGAGACTGTCCCGGCGACGGAGCTGTTATTTATACGAAACTGAACAGAAATCTGTCAAATCTGTCAAATAAAACCGATAGGAAACGTATATTAACTGTGTGACTGTAGTTTATACAGGGTTACCATATATCAGGGTTGTCACCAGAACTTTAGTAAGTTTTTCGTTTTAAAGTGATAAGTAAAATTACCATAGTTCATAGTAAGAGTTCTAATTATTCTGATTCATATTCATATTTCTATTCAGGAAATACTCGATTTTGTATATGTTAAGTGAATAACGATATTAAGCAGTTTCTTTGGGTTTTATTTATTTTTATTATTTAACTAAAACTTCAAGTTATTTATTAAGCTACAAAGACTAGGAAAAGTACTTAATGCTTTCTACGCATATAAATGTTATAAATAATTGTTTTGTAACTATTCGATGGACATAAAATAAAAAAAATATATGTTTTATAGATAATTACTTTGATATTTGTAACGGTCCAATAGTTAAATAACTTGAATGCTACACTGGCTAACAAAAAGGGGATAAACATGTACATGCGTTTAAAAATAAAAAAGCTTCTGGTAGAGAGAAAACTACGTATTTTCCTCAACTACTAGCAACGAATGTAACATATCTAATAAAAAAATCACAATTTGTCAACTAGTGAAATAATATCAAAAAAACAATACAAAGTATTTAGAAAATGATTGCTACAATAATTACCGAAAAACCTTTACTTGCGGCAATGCTGGTCAACGATGAAGTTCGATCGCATTCTCTTCGGAGCGCGATATTTTGTGTTTATAATTTATTTGCTCTGTGATTCGGAGGCTCTTTTTAAATTCATCAACATCAAGTGCAACTGTTTTGAGCAATCCTTTTGCGAGTTTAAAAACTGTGAACTGAAGGTCCTGGGACGCGGCATAGTGGGTCTAAATTTGTACGCCAAAGTCAACCAGCTACCTATTAAGAAGACAAAGGTATGTTTCTGTTTCTGTAAATATTTGAAATAATTATAATTTCTTAGTATCTTCTTCAGGTTGTTTTGGCTCTATTCCGAAGATTCAATGGCTATAGACCATTCCTGTTCAATGTCAGTGTGGATTTATGCTTCTTTTTAAAGCACAAGAAACGCTTTCCCTTCGTCAATTTGGTCTACGAAGGCATTCAAAACTTCACCAATGCCAATCACAGCTGTCCCTTTAATGTTGGTAATACCTTTCATTAACTTCTTGAACTCACTCTAATTATATTTAAATTTACAGCATGACATAATTGTAGATCGCATGGTTTTGGATGATAAAATGATCAGTAAGGCTCCGGTTCCCAATGGATTTTATAAATTATCCATTAATGTTCAAACTGATGGGATTTGGCGGGGCGAAGTCGATGTCCATGCTGAGGTTAATCTGGGTTTTGAACGATAATTAAGGCTTAAAACTTGGAATTGATAAAGGATTCTATTAGCAATGGATTTACTCCAGATTTAGAAACTAGTAAAATTTAAGAACTAATACCTATGATAGCTTTCATAAGTAATTTCTATGAATGAAAAAGCTTACTGTATGATATACAATTTCTGCCTTATTTTATATTTTTCATATTTCCTGTTAATAAAAGTCAAAAAGCTATGAAAACATTTCAAAACGCAAGACAACTGCAAGTTTTGTAAAATTTTTGATTAATGATTTTAATTGACAAACACTGGAAGCATGAGTTCTAATTATTTTTTAAGCAACTTTTGATAAAATATAATTACATTTACACTCGTCAACAATGAAGTTTGACATCATTTCCCCCAAAGTGGTCTCCCTTGTGTTTATTATTTTTTACTTGGCAGTACAGAGGCTCCAACTGTAGTACAAATATTATAATCTATTAAAACTAAGTTACTTTTCTATTCAAATTGGTATTTATATGGCATTTGGCTTTATGAAACAAGGTTCCACTAATCTATCTCTCATCTCTGCTAATAACTAATCATTTCTATTTCTGAAGCTATACAAAAACGTTACTATCTAATGATTAATCCCATTAGCTTCAATGAAGCGTATAACCTTGATTACATCTCGATAGAACAGGGATCTTTAACACAACTTTAACTGCGATTGTTTGAATTTCTATATTCCATATTACTGCAATCCCATGGCAAATCTGTTTTCAAAAATCATATGAGCCTAATTAAGAGCCCATTACCCAAACCCCAGCCATGTAAACAGACACCATAGACCACAAGTCAACCGAGCGGGGAACCAACCCTCTGAAATAGTTCACCACCAGGGGATGCAGAATGGCAGTGGGACTGGAAATCGAGATGGAATGGAGGTGGTTTAGAGATGGGGTCGCAAGTATTCCATACAACGTGTTGCTGCGAATCGTTACGTGTGTAATCTGACACTCGGCGGAAGCGCTTACAACCTGGGCAATTAGCAAAGAAATCTTCATGCAAATGAGCCGAGGTTCGTGGTCGTTAAAGAAAACTTCCTTCGGGAAAAGTGTCAGGAGCAGGCACACAGCCTGCCGGCCAGCTGGAGCTATGCTAATGAGCCCCTGACAAGCTGACAATTAGCCAAGGGCTGGTGGAAAAGCCGCAAAGTGAAACTTGTTGACCTCGTTGGCTGCAACCGATCTTTGCCAGGGCTAAAAACTTAATAAGCCACTTTTTATCCCAGGGAAAATCCGACTCTCGGCGTCGACGAGTATAAAAGTTCGTAATTAAATTCCAGTTTATTAGTCGGAATTGTTTTTTGGGGCGTTGCTGCTGATTCAGCGTCGCGACGCAACAATTTAATTAAGTTTTTGCAGACCGTTTCACTAATTAATTGCATTCAGCAGCAATTGAGACGAGGGATGACAGTGTTAACTGGAAACAGGCAATAACACAACAAAAAAAAAAACTACCAAAAAATATGGCCATACATTTTATATAAATACATTTGAAGAATATGTTGAGTCTTAAAACATAAACTTCAAGGTATATTTTTAGAAATATTATTAAGCAATGACTTGTCCTAATTATATATATTATTATTATTACTTAAATTTATTATTATTATTTTATTAGACGATAAACATTTTTTCTTTGCAATTGGATCAAGGTACCGAATTTCAACCGATTCTCAATAAGCCAAAAATGAAAAAATTCGGAAAACGTTCCTATGTTAGTTTTTATTAAATTAACAAATCTGCATACTCAATTTGAAATAAAAAATATTAAAATTTTTGCCAAATTTTCACAATTTTAACGATGTAACCCCTTATAAAAATTTTAAATTTAGATAAATTTTCAAAAATTTATTTTTTGACAGGATATAACTAGATCAATTCCGCTGTTGATACTGATCAAGAATATATAAAATATATAGGGTCGGAAATGAGTTATTCATTGTGATACAAGCTTTCGACTAAAAATATGTATAATACCCTGCAAAGGTATGTATAAAAGTATTTTTATTAAATAAATAAAAATTTGAGAATCTCCAAAAACACTTTTATTAAATATATATAAAAATGTTATTATAAATAAGTATTGCATTTATTACCAAAGTTGGGCAATTAAATATGTTTATGAAACATAAAATTAGAAAATGAATTAATTTAATTTAATGTAATTGAATTTCAAATATGTCTGTTAATGGAAAGATTTTCAAAATATAAAGTATCCTCGACAGGGATTTAAAGGTGTTTAAATAATACATTTTTAGCTTTAAATTTTATATATATCTTCCTAAAATCAGATAAAATAAATAAAATTATAAAACCTAATATAGACAAATCTTAAAGAATTTATTTTCATAAATAAATTATCAACTTAACATCAATAACAATATACCGTTAATATCGCCATTGTATCCCTGGCGTAGAGCCCCCATAATTTCCTTAATTTTTCGGCCTTGTCCCGACGCCATTTTGGAAAATTCACTCGCTGTGAAAGATAGAGACGGGAAAAAATGGAAAGGGGAAGCTACATTAAATTTTCAAAACCACAAAAAGAATCCTTTGGTTCTTAAAATGTCTGAACAACGATGACCGTGCTGAGGCTGCGACAGCGGAAGGACCAAGGAGTGGGGCTGTGAACGAACTAAAGGTACATTGCCGGCGACAAAAGGAGCACTCACCTGTGCCACCCCAAAAAAGGGGGAGCAACATCAACAGCAGCAGCGGCAGGTGGAGCAGGTGGTAAAAACTCCAACACAGTGCAGTGAAATTCTTCATCTGCAATTCAATGACATTCCATTCTGGACACCTGAGTCTCCTCCTCTAGCCCCCCGCCCCGGGGGCAGGATCCCGGATAGCGGGCGGGGGCGTGGCATGGTAGGCCAATGAGCCAGTCGCCAGTGATTCCATCTGGGGCGTGGCAGCGCATGCGCCGCGCCAGATTGCGTGGGTGTCCGGGGGTGGGATTACTCGAGCTATGCCATCCGAGAGCGAATCCCAGAGCAGCCGCCCAGGGATTCCGGCGCAAGGTGCGAGCGAGAGACGTTCCAGGAACGGTTACTCCGGCGGTTTGGGTTTGGGTTGACCCCCTCCCGGGGGTGGTTCCAGCTTTCATTGGCTTCGCCCTCGCATTTAAAAGCCAATATTTTTTAGGTCGCAACATTGCGACAGGTTACCATCCAGCAGTTCAGTTCCCTGCGAAGGCTGCCACGGGTCAGTTGCGTGTCACGGAAAGTCCTTAAGCTGGCGGCAAAGTCCTTAGGCTAGCGGTTAAGTGCGGCGCAAGAAATATTTTCAATATCCTTGGTGAAAAAAAGAAGCATAGTTGATGGAAAAATAAAACAAGAAGTGCTTAAAGTAATTCGAACTAAACAGGAAATAAATAAGGAAAAAAGAGTGCTTATAAATTAAAATTTAATTTAAAACAAACTATTTAAAGCGATTAGTGCGGAGAATTAAAATAGTAATCGGTAAAACAGACGCTGCATTACCTTGGCAAAGAGGTAAAAGCTTTAGACATTCAATGTCTATTTGAACTAATGAATTTATTCATTTATAAACCATGATCTTTTAAAAAAGTATTCTAAAAACTAACTAACTTCATTAATTTAAATGTATTATAATTTTATAACAAATCAAACTAAAATAAATTTGAATTCAAGGGGTTTAGAAATTAATTGTATATTAACAAATCCTTTTAAAAATCATAGGGTCATTCTTAGATAAAAGTGTCAGGTTTTTTTTAGTCATTACACTTAATATTTCTCATTGATTGTATCATTATTATTTTGGATTAAAACATGAATTAAAAATCATAAAAGCTAATAATAATTAGCTTTGTATAACGATGCTGTATTAAATCTCTATAGAGAATTTGATTATAAAACTCAGAATGAATTAATTATAAATCAGAGTTTAATGTTTTGAAGAACACAAAGAAAAATACTGTTTCTTGTATTTGATATAAGTATATTAAATATTTATTGAGTTTTTAATAATTATTTTATTATTTATTTATTTAAGAATATATATATAATAAATTTTGAAATAAAATAACTAAATGGAACCAAAAAACACAAACCGAAAATAAACTTAAATCTTTACATTTTAATATTATTTTTTGGCTGCGATCTGAAATGTTTTAAATATTTGACTAGAAGAAGGAAATTAAAAATTGTTTGATCCTTTTCTTTATATTAATTTTTGCTTCATTTAATTGTGTAATATGTATAACCTTTTTAATTTCAGTAAAAACCTATAAAAATACAAACCCAGAGAACCACACCTTATTGTGACAACAAAACTAATCTAATAAAAGCCACAAATGAAGACCCACACAAGGCAATAAAGAAAAATGATGAACATGAATTTGTTGACGCATTCACAACCGCATCCTCATCCTCATCCTCATCCTCCTTCGCATCCGCATCCCCACCTGCAGCATCCGCATCTTGGTCAGCAACAGCCGCCGCCGCCGCCTCCTCCGTTGCCTGTGGCTCTCCAAGGACATCTCCATTCGTCCAACCATTACATGGAGTGCCGGGCATTGCCGGCAATCAACGAGACATTTCCGCAATTTGGACAGCATCGTCCGACAATTGCGCTGCTGTCGCCGCTGGATCTGTCGCTCCGGGCAGCGGCCAGTGTGGTGCCCATAACGCCGCCATCGACACCCTCGCCGCCCCGCAAGCGTCAAAGATTAATGTCCGAGGAGAATTACCTGTGGCGGCCGCATATTGCAGGTCCTGCAGCAGGAGCAGCAGTAGCAGCAGGTCCTTCAGCCTCATCAGTTCCACCAGCTGCTGCCTTGGCCTTGCCACCGAACAGCAGCTACTTCCTTCATCAGCAACAGGAGCCGCCGCATCCCCAGCATCATCAGACCTACTCCTTGCGCAACTTCGAGGGGGCCGTCGCCTTTAATAAAAGCCACGAGACGAAAAATAGCTTTGAGCAAATTCCAACAAGTCAATCGAGCGTGTCCAGGCGTCCCTCGCCCATTTATGTGGACGACGAGACAATCGTGTTGACCGAGGACGAGGATGAAACAGTTGTCAGTTCCCATGACTACAATGATTATGCCGCCACCGAGGACACTGAGGAAATCAACGAGGGCGACGATGAGACGCTTCAGGTTCGGGTCAGTGGGGATAATGACGAGGACGATGACGAGGATGAGGAGGAGGTCTTTGTGGATGTCCTGGGCAGCGATGATGATGAGGGGGATGGTGATGCCGAAAATGAAATGTTGGTCCAGCCTCAGCTTGTGGAGACGCGAGCCCTGAAGCGTAATGAGTTGCTGTACGAGGATGAGGAGCTGCATCACAAGGCCATAGATGGCCTGGCCAGGCTCTTTGACCGGGAGTTTCCAGAGCCCGAAGTGGAGATCACTCAGATGTCCGATGTGCAGAGCAATGGAGAGAAAACCTATACGGATTTAAGCGGCAGCATTGCTACAGCGGAGGCACATGCTCCAGCTTTAGTTGCTTCTCTTCCTGCATCTCATCCTCCTCCTGCTCCTCTGCCGCCGCCGCCGCCACCACCGCCGGCGCATCCACCAAGACCTCAGAAAGCCGAACGAAAGCGTTCCAAGTTAAGAAAACACATGGCCATTGATGAGGAGACCATCAGTCCTGTGTCTGGAACCATAATCCGTAAGTTGCGCGACGATGAGGAGCTGGTGGTGCGCAAAGGTGACATTGATCCGGCTTTCAATGTGGTGGAAATCACCGAGGAGGCCAAGGCCATTCTGGCCAGCATTGATAACAAGATTGGTGACTATCTCTGCCAGTTGTGCCGCACTGTCTACGATGATGCCTTTATGCTGGCCCAGCATCGTTGTCCCCGCATCGTTCACATCGAGTACAAGTGTTCCGAGTGCGAAAAGGTTTGGTTTTTTTTGGTGTTCCAGGATCAATAAGGATCTAATAAGCACGTGCTCTTGCAGGTCTTTAATTGTCCTGCAAATCTGGCCTCCCATCGGCGTTGGCACAAGCCCAAGGCAGATGGTATTGGAAGTGCAGCCGGCGGTAATCCCGGCAAGAAGCGGCTTGTGGAGACAAGTGACATTATCCCGGATTCGGTTAGAGGTGGTGATGATAACAACGATGGCATATATCCCTGTCACATTTGCGGCAAATCTTTTAGACGGTAAGAAAGCTACTTGCAACTCTTATTGTGAATATTATTTAATTAAATTAATAATGATTACATCTTCCTCTACCGCCAACAGCCAGGCTTATCTGAAGAAGCATCAGGCCTCCCACCAGATGCTGGAGAACCTCAAGAACCTGGACTTTTTCAAGGCCCAGCAGCACCAGCAGCATCAGCAGCAGTTGGGCCTTGGCAGTGGTCACCAGCTGCCGGATCATGTCCAGCTGCCACAGCCGACGGTGCCGGTAGCCTCCAGCTCAGCTGCTCCTTATGCCACCAATTTGACACGCCCGCCCACCCATGGACTGCCACTCTATCCACCGGTTGCTCCTGGCAAAAACTATGCGCCGGGTCAAAGGTTCCCTGGCTTCCCCTTCCAACCCTTCGACCAGCGACGCTTCTATTCCCTGGGTGAGTTCTATCTGTCGCAGCATTTGGAGCGCTCCTCGGCCTTCCAGTATGTCCAGGCCAATCATCTCCGCCAGTTGTCCAATGTGGCCCAGACTTTGATGCCTCCGCTGCCAGTTAAATGACCCAATCCGAATTCAACGAATGTCCTGCGGCCAGTTCCACGTATAGCCACCACCACGAGCAGCACGACGGGCACTCCAGCAGTCCGGCAAGGAGGAGAATCCTCAACGGCAGTGTCCTCTGGTGGACATGCCTTCAACTGGGTCCAAGTGGGTGCACCTCCAGCAACTGCAGCAACTGTTACCACAGCGGAAGCCGGCGGCAATGTTATCATGTGACTTAACAACTAATAGAAGCATTGAATAAACACAATCTTTAGTTAATGTTTAATAAATCAATTAACAAAGGGAAGAGTTTTATTAAGGGGGAAAAGGAGGGGCTAAAATAACATTTAACGAGAACAACATACATATATATAAAATTATATAATTTTACAACCTTTAAAGAACACTTAGAGTTAGTGAACTATTAATTTCCTTTTAAGGCCTTGCTTTTTCTTTATAGTTTTGAGACTAGTTTACTTCTACTGAGAACATGAGCTATAGCATGTGCCAGAAAAGTTTCATTTTGAACACCAACAAATAAGGTAGATCTGGGTCCTGTAAGAATACGAAAAGAAAGATACATTAATAGAATATATATCAAAATTCAAAGAACAAATTTCCAACTCACCCTGAGCAAACACCAAACTCTCCGATGGCATTTGCTGCAATCTTTCCTGAACTCGAATTTCCTGTTCATTAAAAATCTCTGATAAATAACTTATGGTTTCCGTTTCCTCACTGACATCTAGACTGGGCTGGGAATATACACCATTGGTAAAGAGTACCAGAGTTAAGGTATCCATATCCTTTCGAAGACCATTCAAAGTTTCATTAAGTATCTGTAGCTGTCTTCTAGTGTTCATTTTCTTCTGGATAACTTGCTCCACAATTAGTAGATAACCTTGACTCTTTCTCTCCAAAACTTCAAGTGACTTATCAACCATTAAATTTAAAGAAGGAGCTTTGGGATTACCACTCAAATCCCCATTGGCCATTACACCCATCAAGTGATCATAGCGACTGGCATTCAGGGATTCCAGCTCATCGGTTCGCTGGATCAAGTCAAATCTAATGGGCTTAATTTTGCTCTGTCTGAGTTTCTGATTACGCCATTCCTTTAGCAAATTGCGTCCCTCGCCGGCCTGGCAGAGCAGCTCATCCACGGGATCGTATTTGGTTTGTGGCACAAGTCTGCTCAACATTTGCCGGCCACCGCCAATGATCACATTGAGGGATTTGCCAGTCTCTCCAGAGATTAGCTGGCGGGCCACATCCTGGCAACCGGATTGGAGGAAACCCAATGGCATTCGTTCATCGCATTCATAGGGACTATTGCCATAGAGAGCTGCTCCCGTGGCACCTGTCAACCGTTGAGTGGTTACAAAACCAGTTCTTAGGCCAGCTAATTGAGCCTGTCGCAGGACACTTAGCAGTGTATCCGTTTGGTTATCCATTTGCCTACATTCCGTTTCCATTTCCAAAGACTTTTCCAGAGGAAGGCCAGACCAGAAGGCCTGGGAAACACTTCCCACTGGACAGGGAGATCTCTGACTGCAGCTATTCTTCAGGCGAGCGAGATGTGGATATCGATCCCACACAAAATTCGTATTTTCTTGACTTCTCTCTCGACTTGGAAACCGATGGCTAGCCAAGTGCCGACCATCGATTCCCTGAACCACAAAGATTCTCAAGTTCCTGGGATATATCGGACCCGCTGGCATTCTCAGTGCTTCGTTTAGCTCCTCGATGCCCTTGTCATACCAGATTTTCTGTGAGGCCGCCACCTTGTCCTTCCAATATTCCACATCCGCCACGTTGGCCACCTCGTTCTCCACCTCATAGCGGGTCATGAAGCCAATGCAAAGCAGGGTGATCATGACCGTAATAAGACATGTTCCGGCCACAATGAACACTTGCGTCGATTTCAATCTCACCTTGCGGCATATATCTTTGGTCCGTTGCGATGTCACCATCACTGGGTTGTGGCTAAAACTGAACTGAATCACTTAGCCGCTCTGTCAAATCATAAACAACATTATCTGGTATCTTTAGCGGGGAGATAAGACTGGTTCTGCTTTTGTCTTAAAGGTTTTACAGCCCCCAATCGTTGGCCATCTAGTTGGGTTTAAGTGTAGCAATTAACATACGTCATGAATTATGAATGCACTAATTGGCATGTCAACCTAATGCAGAAACACAAAAAGAAAAATTTGTTAAAAAGATGGGTTTTAAAATCTAGTTTAAATTTATATAAATATATTATAAATGATAAAGACGTTTATGTTAGTTTGAACACTCTGAAAAAGGTTATATATATATACCTTCTTAACATTAATATGTGTAATAAATAATATTAATAAAATAAATAAAATTTGTATAACCCTGCTTGATTGATTGTGATCAAATCAGATGCTTGTAATCCAGTGAAGGAGTCATTTCCGACCCTATAAATCATATATATTCTTGATCAGCATCAACAGCTGAATCGATTTACCCATGTCCGGTTCAAAAATAAATTTTGTAAATTTTTTCGAAAATTGAAAATTTTATAAGGGGTTACATTATTAAAATTGTCAAAATTTGACAAAAAATTGAATTTTCAAATTTAAAAACTGAGTATGCAGATTTTTTAATCTATTCAAAATTAGCATAGAACAACTATTCGAATTGAAATTAATGGTTCTTTGGCTTAGTTATGCGTTTTTGAAACTATGATTTTTGGACAAAATTGTCTGTTTTTATACATTTTTTTTAGGTTTTATAATTTTAATCGAAATCTAACAATAGCACACACAAACACAGTATGCAGATTTAAAACTGCAATAAAAACTAGCACAGAAAAGCTTTCCGATTTAAAATTAATGAAATTTCGGCTTAATTATGATGTCCAAAAAACATAAATTTTTCAGAAAAATTGTCTGTTTTTATACCTTTTTGCAGGGTATAATTTAATTCGGAAAGTTGTAACGCTGTGATGGAATCATTTCCGACCCTACAAGCCATATATATTCTTGATCAGCATCAATAGCCGAATCGATCTAGCCATGTCCGGTCAAAAAATAAAGTTCTAAATTTTTTTTCGCAATTTCAAAATTTTATAAGGGGTTACATCGTTAAAATTTTCAAAATTTGACAAAATTTTAAATTAATATTTAGTATGCAGATTTTTTAACCTAAGAAAAACCAGCTTAGAAATACTTTCAGAATTCAAATTAATGGATTTTTGGCTGAGTTATGAGTTTTTAAAACTTTGATTTGTCGAAAAAATTGTCATATTAATATATCAATTAGATTTTATAATTGCGTACATTCAGGTACCCTTTTTAATTTAATTTTAACTTTAAGTTAAAAATGTATAACATATCATTCTTATAGACAGCAATATTAGCCAAAAATAATTATGTAAGAGTTTAATATAATTATTAAATATGTAATTACAGTGGCAAATATTTGAATATACAAAATATATATGCCTTACTCTACCTGTTTTGTATTAATTTCTCGCTTCATAATTTCTCCCAGTGCATTATTTGTGCAAATTCCGAGTTCAATTGCTGTTTGGAGGGGTCAAAACCGTTCTCAACTTTGGTCATTAACTATTTGTCACATGTACAATAGTTGCTGGCTTAGAGTGTGCTGTGGGTGGCAGTCGAATTGATTTGTGAGTTTGGACTAGAGAAGCCGCAGGTTTGTCCCTCACCCAATACTAATTGTCATTTGGCATTCAAATGCGGCTTTACAATTTCCACCCCGCTGTTTGGGTGAACTATATTCGCTTATGAATTCTCGCTCAATTATATCGACTCGGTTCGTTCATTTGCCAGTTATGCGAATGCGAAATTGTTGCCTCAATTACCTGCCATTAAACTGCATTTAAACGCCCCACTCGTTTCCGCCCATCCAGTTGTCCGTCATTTCGTCGCTTTTGAAGTTCCTTTTGCATTGACATGTGGCCAGTTTTCCCCCGCCAAAAACTGTCACAATTTCAATTTGAATTTCCACTCCAGACAACTGACAAAGGCACTCCCACCAAGGATATTGTCTGGTCAATTCATCTGCTTTCTTTTATTTGTTTTAACCAAGGTCTTTTACAACTGTCATTTGCTGGCGGAAGTAACCGTCGAGCAATTTCAATTGCAATTTTTCAATCACGCTGTGCTCAGTGCTTTTCAGCCAGCTGCCCACAGTGCGTATGCGTAATATTAGGATGTAGGGTGTGAGCAACAAGAAGGCTTTAGCTTTCTTCCTTGCCCAACTACACATCCTTGAGGCTTAAGAGATTACAGTGGAGTCCACATATGTGAGTGCGATATGGTAAGGATTTAATATTCGTACTTAGGGTGGCTAGGAAAGCTCGAAACTCACCCTTAATGGCTCGCAGGGGTTCGTTTATTGAGTGAGCTTGAGTGAGCGAGGAAGCTTTTAACAGCGACATCTGCTGGTGAAAATGGAATATTTAATAAAGCTATATAATATAAAGAAAATCTGTACAATTTTGTTTATGATTTAAGCTTTAATTTGTATATTTTAGTATATAATAATTGCATTTATCGAGAGTTTGTGACATTTCCTTAGTTTTCTGATTTACTTCTAAAATTGTGTTTAAGAATTAAGAATATTCTGGAGCACTCTAGATATTTTAATATTATTATATTAAATAATAAACTTTTATAAATTTTATGTAAGAAGTTAGAATAGGTAATATTTTTGTACATTAACTTCAATGGAAAAATTAATTATACTGCAATAAAATTCACATACCCAATGCTCTAATCCAATTCTTTTTGTATTTAATGTATCAAAATTATTGTAAAGCAAGATATTGCTTAAGATTTGTTTAAAATGTAATTTACTTATTCCCCCTGAAGCTATTTTAACACATTATTATTATTTATTTCGGGGAAAGACCATTAAATAATGCACATTAAATAAACTAAATGAAATCCCTGTCTATCCCAAAATAGCATATGGAAAACTAATAAAATTGCATCAAATATGCCAGCATCTGGTCAAATCTGTTGCGGCTTGTGTCAAGGATTAAAGGACACTGTCCGTCCGTCCGTCTAGTAACAGATTCATATGCAGTGCAAATAGCATTTCGCATGCAACCGACAAGCGCCGCAGGATACAATTAGTGGCAAGTGGACGTCAAGGAACATGACACCCATCGAGGGCCGTGGACCGAGCACCGAGGACAGGAAACCGAGAACATGGCCAAGAATGGTGGCTTTGACGTGTCGCATATGGGTCACTTGGGCCCCGGGCAGGATGCGGAGCCAGCAGCTGCATCCGCCCACGTTCAGGTCCGTGCTCAAGCCCACGCCCGGAAAACTCCACCCAGTTTTTCAGACACTGAAAACGAGAGGTAGAGGTAAAGAGAGACAGAGAGTCACAGAGAGAGAGTGTGAGAGAGAGTGAGTGTGTGGCCTTGACCTTGGCCCCTAAATAGCAAATTTCCATCAGGAAAAGCGCCTGGTTAAAGCATTTTCCCCCGCTCGGTTAGCATATGCCAAGGAATCCGGAATCACAGTGGCCTTTTTGCAAAACGGCAAATAAAACTAAGCCCAATTAAACTTTTAATTGGTCGCGCCAAATGCGAATTACAAAATTATTTGCAATAAAATTCTGCTTATTTTGTAGTTATTCCATTAAAATTAACGCTCGAAATAAAATGCAACACAATATTTTACACACAACGGGGGAAGCTCCTATGAGCACGCCTTCTATCAAACACCGGGCCAGGGGCGTAACAAAAGGGGTTCTAAAATTGTAAAATTAAAAATTAATATAAGTAATGATGTATAATATATATAATTTAGTTGTTAAATTTGTTCACATATTATCAAATAATAGAATTAGATTAGACCCCCTTTTGTATTACAGCCATGTGATTTTTTGGTTTCGTTGCCAAGCCATATTATTAGTCAGCTGCTAATGATTACCGCATCTGCTCTCTCTGTATTGGGAAAAAATACATTTTCCCATTGATTAGCAAAATGCGAATTTACGATACACTTTCTCTGAGATAATTCTTAATATATAAGAAACAGTTTGCTTTATAATAGATACTTTGCAAAACCTAGACCTCTGAAGAGTAAGTATTTAATTTTAAATAAATATTATCAGTGTATTTAATTTAAAGATACAAAAACTAACTAACTAAAGGAAATACGAATAAATAAAACAATCGCAAAAAGTGATCTAATTTCAAGAAACGTTTAACAATCATAATGTATATTTTATTTTTATATAAGTGCAAAAGATACCTAACTTTTGTGAAGACTTTATTTTCAACTCGGTTTTTCCCATTTTCATTAAATGTCAGTCGCAAGGTCCGCTCTATGATAAGAACTTTTCCAGTTAACCCACACATTATAATATCATCCATAATTGGTAATCCTCTATAGTTTACGCTTGATTGCATGGCATTCTCATTGCTGTTGTTTGACAGCAGTTTATATAATGAAATCGGGGTCTATTCAAGGGGGTGAAGCACACACTATTGCTCATCTTGCCCCCTCTTGGGTGCAATAAATGATGCAGTGGGTTGGAAAATTATCCATTTAAATCTTTAGACTGCAATTTCAGGGGCAACATTCAAAGGCTCTCTAAGGTTTTATCAGTTTTTCTTTTGTTTTGTTTCGATTAGATACGATTTTTGCAATATTCAATGATAAGATACTTGTAAAGGTAATAAGGAAACTGAATGGCATTGAGAAGTTGTATTTGATTGCGACGGAACATTATTGCCACAAAGAAATAGAAATTGTAATATTATTTTGTTGAAATTTATGATTTTAAAAAGGTTTTAATGGGAAATGTTAGACAGAAAATTATTATGAATTAGGAGATGATCGAAAATGAAATAATTCATCTTCATAAAATGGTCTTAAAAGAAAAGGAGGTGCTTTAAATGTTGTTATATGTTTTACAAAAGTATTATTATTAATTTTCTTGGTTCCCTTCTATAGCACCTTTTTGACACAATATGTAAGATTTTTAATCTGACTTTGATCTTAAAAATAATACAATTTTCATAATATATTACTTAAGTAGAAATATATTTTTAATTTAATAAGATATTATTATATATGTTCTCCCAAAGAATTTGTAAGATTATGAAATTGGAACAATATAATTGATATAACGAGATAAGGAGAAAAGGTATTACAATTTAAATAAA